TCAAGTGAGGAAAAATCCAAGAGACAAGCCCTTAAATACAAGTTAAGGGGGGGGGGGGCTTATCTGAATGTGGTTGCCGGGGAGTGGCGGGGAGTGGCGGGGGGTGGCGGGAGGTGGCGGGGCTAAAAGGGGAACAAATTAGCACATCGGCTCAGGGTTGTGGCCGGTGTTAGCTGATAGTAAGCATAAAAGTACTGGTGAACGCTGGGGATGTCAACACTCGGTAAAGTAAAATATTACCTGTCAAATAAGATGGTACAAATATGTGTAGTTAAATCTATTTTTACATGGTTACTAACAGCCTAACGACAAAAACCAACAAGATCATCACGAGTTCGACTTCCCTAATCGACCCAACCAAACGTCCCTCTCTAAAACCCTCGGCTGCTAGACCTCCCAGACTCTATGGTCTTCCCAAGATCCATAAGGAAGGCCGCCCGCTACGACCCATCGTGTCAACGATTAACTCCCCTACCTACAAACTAGCCCGTTTTCTATCAGATACTCTACTTCCCTTCACAGGCAAGACCTCTTCGGCAGTACTCAACTCAACCCAATTGGTCTCTATGGTCAAGGACATGGTACTATCTCCTGACAATATCTTCGTCAGTTTTGATATGGTATCTCTGTTTACCAAAGTTCCAGTGCCTGACACCCTAACAATAATTGACGACTTGGTCCAACATGGATTGAATTCGGATGTACCTGCGCTGGTTAGGCATTGCCTCACCAACACTTATTTTACCTGGAATGGCACCTTCTACAAACAGAATGAGGGTACCCCTATGTGCTCCCCCTTGTCACAAGTGATAGCCAATGTGTTCATGGAAAAGTTTGAATCAGACGCCATCCAGACGTCCACCCTACCTCCTTCCCTGTGGAAGAGGTATGTAGATGACACTTTCGTCATTTGGCCACATGGCCTCTCAGCATTGAACCATTTCCTGGACCACATCAATTCCAAACACCCATCCATCAGATTCACCATGGAAGTGGAGAAAGATGGCAAACTACCATTCTTAGATGTTCTGTTTGAGAGGAGACCTGATGGATCCTTGGGACATTCCGTCTACAGGAAAACCACCCACACAGATTCCTACTTGAAACCTTATTCCCACCACTACCCAGCTCAAAATAATTATCTCATCAAAACACTATACCACAGAGCTCATGGCATATCTGACCAACACCACCTGGCCAGTGAATTAAAACATGTACATTGGGCCCTAAAGATGAATGGATACTCTGACCGCACTATTCGCCAAGCTGTTTCTCCCACCATACAGAAACAACCACTTGTAACTCCGATCAAAACTATCACGTTACCATACATAGTAGGCGTGACCAAAAATATCTCCAAAATTATAAACAAATAAAAGATCCAAGTCCGATTCAGTACAGTTCATAAAATCCGTGATCTAATCCCATCTGTTAAAGATGTCATTCCTGACTTGCAATACCCTGGAGTCTATACATTGACTTGCATTTGTGGTGATTGTTACATTGGGGAAACGAAACTTCACGTCTCCGATCGTGTCCGCGAGCACAAGTTAGATCTGAAACATGGCAAAATTGAGTCTTCCGCCGTTGCCGATCATTGCTACAATGATGTGGGCTCTCATGATATTGTCTTTTCCGAGACCAAGGTACTCTGCAAACCTTTTGGCTACCATCAAAGGTTTGTACACGAAGCCATCCAGATATACAAACACAGACATAACTTCAACCGTGATGATGGTTACAAACTGAGTAATCATTGGAAAGATGTTATTAACCATGTAAAAATAGATTTAACTACACATATTTGTACCATCTCATTTGACAGGTAATATTCTACTTCACCGAGTGTTGACATCCCCAGCGTTTACCAGTACTTTTATGCTTACTATCAGCTAACACCGGCCACAACCCTGAGCCGATGTGCTCATTTGTTCCCCTTATAGCCCCGCCACCTCCCGCCACTCCCCGGCAACCACATTCAGATAAGCCCCCCCCCTCCCCCCCCCCCTTAACTTGTATTTAAGGGCTTGTCTCTTGGATTTTTCCTCACTTGATACAGTAAATGTAGTTGTGACGGTCCCACCTGATGACGGAGACTTGTGTTGCCTCCGAAACGTCGTGATTTATTATTTTACTTCTATTATAAATTCTATTATTTCTTTATTTATTTTTACTTTTTTACCTACGTGACTTTACCGAAAAAACCTAAGAGTATGAATCTATGCAGTCACGAAAGTTTCAAATCCTGATTTGTTAACCTTTAAAAACTTGCACTCCTATCGTGTTTTATATTGTTTCTTGTTGTAACGTTCTGACCCCGTGCCGCCACTGGACATCTGTCAAAAAGGGCTTTATAGCTCATCGGATTCCTCCAGTGTAAATAAATGATTCTGATACTGTATACACTAGTCCAGGGGTCCTCAAACTTTTTAAACAGGGGGCCAGTTCACTGTCCCTCAGACTGTTGGAGGGCTGGACTATAGTAAAAAAAACTATGAACAAATTTCTATGCACACTGCATATATCTTATTTTGAAGTGAAGAAACAAAACGGGAACAAATACAATATTTAAAATGAAGAATAAGTAAAGTTAAATCAACAAACTTGCCAGTATTTCAATGGGAACTATGGGCCTGCTTTTGGCTAATGAGATGGTCAATGTCCGGTTCCATATTTGTCACTGCTAGTCGTAACAAGTGATGCAAGTGTGCATCCGTTAGTCTAGATCTGGTTGGAGATTTCAAATGTTTCATTCTGGAAAAAGTCTGTTCACAGACATAAGTGCTGCCAAAGATGGTTGCCATTTTGAGTGCATGATTCCTGAGATGAGGATATGTCTCAGAGGGGAGAGATGCATAGAAATTATGAAGGCTGCTTGACTTGAATGCGTCTTTCAGAGAGTCACAATTCTGCAGTTCAGCCAGTTCCATTTGTTAAATTGTATCCACATTTTCAATGTCAATAGAAAATGGGGATACGGAAAAGCTGTATGTCCTGTTCATGGAGATGAAGCTCTTTAAATCCAAATTGGAACTCCTTTTGCAATTTTTCCAGTGAATCCACACATGTTTTGTTTGGGAATGCAACCAATGGTTTTTCCGCTAACAGATTTTGAGTTGTAGGGAGATGGCAGAAGTTTTCCTCCTTCACTTGTTTGATGAGAAGGCCTAATTTTACTTCAAATGCTTTGACATGTGATTGCATATCACAGATGAGCTTCCCCTTTCCTTGAAGTTGCACATTGAAACTGTTGAGTAGCTCTGTTACATCTGTCAGAAAGGCAAGGTGCCATTTCCATTCTGCATCATTGAGCTCTGGTACTTCTTCGTTTTTTTAAAGCAGAAAAGCTGTAATCTGTGGAAGTAAGTCATAGAAACGTTTCTAAACTCTCCCTCGACTCAGCCAACGGACTTCTGTGTGATACAGAACATCTTCATAGTCAACATTTAGCTCAGACATAAATGCCTGAAATTGTCTGTGGTTTAGTGCATGAGCTCTAATGAAGTTAACACAAGATACCACAAATTTCATAACAGAGTCCCACTTCAGTGATTTACTACACAGCGCTTGTTGGTGGATGAGGCAGTGTATGGCTATTGGATGAGAATGGTTATGTTTGTCCATCTCTTGGTTAATGCGAGCAATTACTCCTTTCTTAGACCCCACCATGCTCGGAGCACCATCAGTTGTCACACTGGCTAGTTTAGCCCAATTCAGCTCCAAACCATTCACAGTTTGGCAAACCTTTTCATAGAAATCCTCTCCTGTAGTTGTTCCTTTGATGCTTTGCAGTGCAGCAAACTCTTCTGTGACTTCGAAATAGTCATTCGTCCCACGAATAAAAATTAGAAGTTGTGCAGAATCACGAACATCATTGCTTTCGTCGAGTGCCAAGGAAAAATAGGAAAGTTTTTTTGTGGAGTTTTGCAAATGCTGATGCAAATTGTCTCCCATTTCTTCAATCCTCCGTGTAATTGTAGCTCCTGAAAGACTCACTGTACTAAATAAATCGGCCTTATCTGGACACATCTCTTTGGCAACAGAAAGAAGGCATTCTTTAACAAATTCTCCCTCCACGAATGGTCTGCCAGTGCTCGCTATTAGCTTGGCAACTTGAAAACTTGCTTGCAGTGATGAAATATTTAGCTGCTTCTGCTTCACAAAAGTATTTTGCTGAGTTGCTAATGTATTTTTCAGTTTTAATATTTTATCTTTTCTCACTTCTCCGACCAAACAATCATATTTATCTTTATGTTGAGTTTCATAGTGTCGACGTAAATTGTATTCTTTGAACACAGACACTATATTCTGGCATATCAGACACACAGCTCTTTCCTTGTACTGCATGAAAAAGTAATCATAAGTCCACTGTTCTTTGAATATCCTACACTCCGAGTAAATTTTTCTCTTTCTTGACATCATTGTTTCCTAGGGAGTCAAAATTGCTATTAGTAAAATACCAATATATACAGCGCTACAAAAACAATATACCAGCAATAACTTTGCCCACACAGAGACATACAGACTGCACTGCCCATCAATGCAGTCTGATTGGGGGGAACTCCGCCCCCTCTCCCTCTTCCACCAATGACCGTCCTTCTCATGTAGAAAAAAAGTAACAGACAGGCAGCGGCGGCAAAAACACCCGGCGGGCCGGATAAATGTCCTCGGCGGGCCGCATGTGGCCCGCGGGCCGTAGTTTGAGGACCCCTGCACTAATCCATGGATTTGCTGTGCAGTATACATGCAGCAGTAATGCAATGATAATAAAAACGTTCTGAAACAAGGCAAAGGAGCTGTCAGGGCCGACTGTTTCTGGCCTTTTTAAGATGTCGAGACGACGAACTCAGCCTTTATTTCGACTCCAAACTTCCCATAGCAACCGTTGCTGGGGCCCCCGTGGGCCATCCCATAGCAACGGTTGCTGTGGGTCCAGGGGGGTTCCGCCTTGGGAAACAGGAACCGGAAGCCGGAGCCGCCACCTTTAACCCGGAGCCGCTTCTCCGCGCGTGCGAACCGCTCCCGCGTGTTCAGCAATCTCCGTCTCCTCGTCTCTCCGCGTGTCCCCGCGTCTCTCCGCGTGTCCCCGCGTCTCTCCGCGTGTCCCCGCGTCTCTCCGCGTGTCCCCGCGTCTCTCCGCGTGTCCCCGCGTCTCTCCGCGTGTCCCCGCGTCTCTCCGCGTGTCTCCGCGTGTCCCCGCGTTATCCCTGTGTGTCCCCGCGTTATCTCCGCATCTCTCCGCGTGTCCCCACCTCTCTCCGCGTGTCCCCGCGTGTCCCCGTCTCTCTCCGCGTGTCTCCGTCTCTCTCCGCGTGTCCCCGTCTCTCTCCGCGCCTCTCCGCGTGTCCCCGTCTCTCTCCGCGTGTCCCCGTCTCTCTCCGCGTGTCCCCGCGTGTCTCCCGGGTGTCTCCGTCATGGCGGGGGAGGTGGTGGTGGACGCACTGCCCTACTTCGACCAGGGCTACGACGCGCCGGGTGTCCGCGAGGCGGTGAGGCTGGGGGGGGGGGGTGACGTGTCTGGTGTGAGGTGTGCAGTGAGTATTGACGCGGTGTGTAGTGTGGGTGGAGAGTTTTGACGCGGTGTGGTGTGTGTGGTAAGTATTGATGTCGTGTGTGTGTGCGGTAGGCCGTAAGGTGAACTAGGAAAAAGTGGCTAGAAAATGATTTTCGTTCCCACACCTGGGAACTACTTTTTAAATGATTTTTTTCATAGACAAAACCATTTTCGACTTTATGTTAAAAGTTCTCCGCAAAATACCCTGCAGTTTTTTTTCAAAATCCATAAATGTATATAATTGTGAATTGGAAAAAACGAAAATCTTATGCTGTTGGTTTTGTTTGTAACTTTATTTATATACATTTTAGCAACACCAAATATCTCTCAAACTGACACTTATACATGTACCTAAACACTTGAGACAGGTTTTGGTGCATTATATACTCAAGTGTGAATGTAGACCATGAAATATGGCAAATTTGTAGAAAATATGCTTCAACTTCACGGATTGGCACTAAGAAAAATTAAACATAAACATCTTAAATTTAGCAAAACTGTGATGTTTTGTACATCAACATTTTCAATAGGTACTGTGTAATCACAGAAAGATACAAATATAAGCACACTTTGGCCCAAGTTGGCTGAAATGACTCGAAATGCTACACTGTCCCCTTGTTTTGGAATGCTGCCAAAAAAATTTACAATTCTACCACAGATTCTTTACAGCTCAAAATCACCTTAAATTATAACACAGCGCATATTTACTCATCGGTATCATCCCTATCACTAATCAGAGCCATCATCCCATGTAGGTCTTCTTCTGTTTCCTGTCAAACATTGGCACAATTTTGGCACCGACATAAATCAGTACAAGACAGTCTTGCAGACATACAGGAACATCTTCCAGTCTCACATTTGCTATGCTTGCAACTGCAGTGCACTGCCTGAAACACACTTTTAGGGACAGGATTTCTAGTCATCCAGGTCACTGTTAACTCACCATCCTCGAGGTGCCATCCATTGCCAACGGGTGAAGGGGCACACATTATGCCTTTTCAGAGAATGTCTCATTATGGCTGCTTGGTAGTTTGCCCTTTTGCAGTGTTGGTACAGGGCGTCACTTGGAAGGGGCATGGATAGTTCTGGAAAAGCTGACGATGCCAGCACTGCCTAAAGGATATGACACAGTTCCCAAGGAGTAAGACAGAATTTCCCGCAGGTAAATTTTTCTACTTTGACTTATGACGAGTAATCTGGAGAATAGTTTCTTGTCGGCACATAGAATCACTTCCTTGCCTGCTGCAGATTTCTTCTTTGTCTTTGCTTGGTCACTAAAGGTCTTCAGTTTTTGTGTTTTGATGGGAGCAAATATATAACAGTCTTTGGTCCATAAACTCTTTGACAGCATTTTCCCCTTCATCTTCTTGGTTCTTTCGGTAAAGGCACGTAGAAGGGAAGTAATAAAATAATAAAAATAAAACATAATAAAATAAAATATTATATTATTTTATTATATTATATTATTTTATTATGTTTTATTTTTATTATTTTATTACTTCCCTTCTACGTGACTTTACCGAAAGAACCAAGAAGATGAATCCCTGCAGTCACGAAAGCATTTTCCCCCTTTTTCCGGAGCTGCGAGCAAATCCCACATGATTTCTTCAGCTGCTACTGTCCCAGAGCTAAGACACACAATGACATCTTGGTGTGTGTCAAAAGGATTCAGCATGGAATTTAGGGTGGAAATTATGTACTTGTCCGTTTTCTTACAAATTATGCACAAGGTAGAAAGCACAGGACCAGCACAAGTTACTGGCAGGCTGGTCCTGGACCTAAGTTTTTTTGCGGGACAATCAACTGCAGCGATAGTAACGTTACTACCCGATGGCACAGACTGGCCTTGATCTTGAGCTTCAGGACACTGTGTGGCCCGTTTCTCGGCCGCATCCAAGCGCTTTTTGTCAATGAAACGCCTGTAGCAAGTGGAGTGAAACCCAGCGTCTTCGGGAACATTGTCAAACTCGATTTCTAGACAATGTTTGTATGTTTCTGCTATTCTCCGATTCTCACCTTGCAAAAAAAGCCACCGTTTGACGCAGTTTCTGAATGTATCCCACCGTGTCCGTGTAATCCTTTGTTTCTTCTTTCTTTATGGATGTGAGATGCATATAGCATTGTTTAAAATACTTTTTACGGACTTTTGTAGGAGGTCTGGCCGTAATTTCCTCCTCTTCACTACTCGATATTGACAACAAGGGCGCAGGCATCTTGGACTAATGTTTACCTCTCGTCCCAAAAAGCAGCCACCTTATTGGTCTAGCGGGAAGCACGTGACGCAAAGCCTCATCACTGATGATCAAAATATTATTACGCGAGGAAAGAAATATTGCCGACTTTAAACAATAATAAAAAATAAACTGCAGGATTAGACATGGAGAACTTTTATTTTCACGGCCAACAGCAATAGATCTTTTTATTAGAATGAAAATAATTTAGTGCCCCATATATGGGAACGGGATTAAACGTAAAACGTCTTCACCTTACGGCCTACGGGGCGTGTGGCGAGTATTGACGTGGTGTGTGTGTGGTGAGTATTGATGTCGTGTTTGTGCGGTGTGTGTGGTGAGTATTTATGTCGTGTGTGTGTGCGGTGTGTGTGCGGTTCGTGTGGCGAGTATTGACGTGGTGTGTGTGTGTGGTGAGTATTGATGTCGTGTGTGTGTGGTGTGTGTGGTGAGTATTGCCGTGGTGTGTGTGTGGTGTGTGCGGTGAGTATTGATGCGGGGAGTATGTGGTGTGTGTGGTGAGTATTCGTGTCGTGTGTGTGTGGTGAGTATTGATGTCGTGTGTGTGTGATGTGTATGGTGAGTATTGATGTGGTGCGTGTGCGGTGCGTGTGGTGAGTATTGATGTGGGTGCCGTTCGTGTGGTGAGTATTGATGTGGGGCGTGTGCGGGGTGTATGGTGAGTATTTGCGTGGTGTGTGTGGGGAGTATTGATGTGTGTGTGGTGAGTATTGATGTGGTTCGTGTGCGGTGTGTGTGGTGAGTATTGACGCGGTGTGTGTGGTGAGTATGGAGGTGGTGTGTGCGGTGAGTATTGACGTGGTGTGTGCGGCGTGTGCGGTGTGTGGTGAGTATTAACGTGGTGTGCGTGGTGTGTGGTTAGTATTGACGTGGTGTGTGTGGTATGGACGTGGTGTGCGTGCGGTGTTCGGTGAGTATTGACGTGTGTTGTGTGTGGCAAGTATTGATGCGGTGTGTGCGGTTCTGTCGCAGGCCGCTGCGCTCGTGGAGGAGGAGACGCGGCGATACCGCCCGACCAAGAACTACCTGAGCTGCCTCCCCCCTCCCGAGCTGAGCGCATTCGAGGTGATACCTCCAATGACCACACCTCACCACCAACCCCTCTCCACACCTCAGCACTCACCGCACACACCTCGCCTCGCCACACCTCAGCACTCACCGCTAGTCCTCACTGTGTGTCACCGTGCTCACCACACTCACAACACTACACTCAGGTCACCACACAACACAATGCCAAGCAGACTCAGAAGTCAGTTACCAGAGTAAATCACCGATTGAGCTCTACCGCTATTTTTCAAGGGTGACTCGGCCAGCAGACAGACCCGACAGCAGCAAATGTTGCAAATTAATAAATAAACATCTCAAATACTAAAAAGATACAAATAAAGTAATTATAACAAGATGTTACAAATCACTTCCAGTAGTCCCTCTGTTAACGTTTTTAATCCGTTCCATGAAAACTACTGTTAACTGAAATAACTGCCAATCGAATTAACGTATAAGTTGAAAAATAAGTAAAAATCACTGAGTCTGCAAGAGAGCTGTTTCCACTGCCAAAAAATAAAACATAATTTAAGCAAAGCCAGTAAAAGTTTAAACGCTCATAAATAGGTGTCGCTTATTGGCTGAGAGCATGCCTCAGCCCCACTTACGAGTGCTCGGATTGGCCGAAATTGACGCCGGTGCATAACGTAAACATACCGTGAGTCAACATTTTTACGTCAGTTGAAACCATGGGAGGTCCTATGGGAGACGAAATGTTCACCGAAAAACCATTAACCGAAACCGTATTCATTTTAAATGTAATATCACCTCCGCTGAAGGGGGTATCAAACATTGTACACTAAAATAAAATGTAAGACAATAATGTTTAAGTAAAAGCCATGAGAAAATAGTGAGGCTTACACTCCCTTATTAACACCGCCAGTAAGGCATTCCAGATCCTTGGGGTAACCGATGCCACTGTTCACCGAGGGACGACTGTGTCCATTCCAGTGACGTGCGGTGAGGTCAATGGCTGGGGAGGCACTGGCTCGTGTCAGAGCCAGATTCACACACTGAGGGGGGCGTGTCTTCACTGAGGGGGGCGTGGCCTCACTGAGGGGGGCGTGTTAGACACGCCCCCCTCAGTGAGGCAGATGTGATAGCTGCCTCACCTGGTGCTTTTTCATTGCAGTTTCACGACGAGACCAGCGAGCCTAATTATCTTTATACACATATACATGAAATAAGTTACCTGGAGTATGGAAGGCGAGGACATGAAATGAAGGGGTCTACAAACATTACATTGGTGACATACTGAGATAGTAACAGGCACGCGCTTATTGCGCGCGCTCCATCCAGTTACTGAGGGGTTGCGCAAATCAGAGGGGAGGCTGAGCTCGTCGCTGCCTCACCTCTCATCTCTTCCTGTATTTGCAGTGGAGCTCCGTAAATTTGGCGATTTTGACTATAAAAATGATTGGAATCGTACAGAAATTTTAATTGGAGTATGACAGGTGAGGCTCTGCCTCCTCTGCCTCCCCTGACCGCACGTCCCTGAACGTATTCTTTGGTTCTGTTGGTAAAGTCACGTAGATAGAAAAATAATAATAAAGTGAATAAAAAATAAAAATAACACTAATGTAGACTGTCGGCTGGTTCTTAATCGGAGTGAGTATACTGGCAGTCTATAATGTAGACTGTAGCCTGGTTATTACGTTTGGTGAGTGTACCATCAGTCTATAATGTAGACTGTAGCAATGGTTATTAAGCTGGGTGAGTGTACTGGCAGTCTATAATGTAGACTTAATCTTGGTTCTTTCAGTAATAAAAAATAAAATAAACATAAAAAACCACGACATTCCAACGTTGGGCCAACATTGGTATAGGCTGTAACCATTGGGGTAGCCACCTGCCCGGGTTTGACCCACACAGTCCGGAAAAGTGGAATTGTTGTTCGTGCGGCAGTAATTGATTTGTAATGGGATTTGGTACCTGTTTTGTGTTGTACAGCATTACATTGTGTCGGACTGGAATACAGGATACTGCAGTTTTGATAGACCTGGGTTGAGAACCGTGTCCGGGTTTGGTCTACAGTTGTCAAGGTGGTAGACTCTAACTAACCCGTGAGACCAGTGAGCCTAAATATCTTTATACACATATACGTGAAATAAGTTACCTGGAGTATGGAAGACGAGGACATGAAATGAAGGGGTCTACAAACATTACATTGGTGACATACTGAGATAGTAACAGGCACGCGCTTATTGCACGCGCTCCATCCAGTTACTGAGGGGTTGCGCAATCAGAGGGGAGGCTGAGCTCGTCGCTGCCTCACCTCTCGCCTCTTCCTGTATTTGCAGCGGAGCTCTGCAAATTTGGCGATTTTGACTATAAAAATGATTGGAATCGTACAGAAATGACATTTATGACACAGATCAGTGGAAAAATCTGAATATTTATTTTATTTATTCTTTTTTTTTAGTAACAACTATTTTCAATGAAGTATGACAGGTGAGGCTCTGCCTCCCCTGACCGCACGTCCCTGGTCCATTCACACTTGTTTGTATTGTGGTGATCCCGAGAGAAGACACCAGTTGTTTCCAACACTTTAGAGCAGCAGCTACATGAAACACTTTTGAGTGTCTTCTTCCTTGTACGCGCAGCGTGATGTCTGTCGTGGTTATGGCACCTGCTGTGCTTCTGTCAGCGAGCCTTCGATACTTCACGTGACTTCAAAGTGCACCTAGCCTGGCCCGGGCACCGTGGTAACGTCACCGCCACTTAACGACGATTGTTGTATGGTATATGATGTGTTTGAACATTCCACGTAGCTACCCGCAGTTGTTCCCTGCTGTTTCTGGAGGAACCCCAAGGGAGGGGGCAGGGGAGTTCAGTCTTCTGGCACCGCTAAACTAGGTTCAGCCAAGAGATGTGAAAGGTGCCGGCCCCCCTGAGGCCACATGCACACGCTTGGTTTGATCCTTTGGTCGTTTCGTTGAAGGCGGAGGGGTTACCAGACCCTCACACACGTCCAGAGTCACTGTTGGCCTTACCATCAGCCCCACCGAAACAAAGCACCTGCTTGTCATGCCATACAAGGCTTTTGGGTCTTTGTCCCCGTTCTCTATGCGTTGAAGGAACATCTGTGCCATTTTTAAACATTCAGGCTGGCCTGTCTACGGTCCATCTTGGTTTCAATCGGACTGAATTGGGTAATGAGCTAACAGATTCTTGAAAGATCTGAACATAATCCATCAGTGAGTTCCTCCAGCAGGCGAGGTTGCGTTGGCTGGGTAATGTAGCCTCCATGCCCAGCCACCGCATGTCCAAGCGGATTCTGATTGGCCAGATAGAGGGGCACTAATCGAGCATGGCACGGGCTAGAAAAAGAGATGGGCTGATGCGGTACTGGAGGATGTAGAGCTGAGTAGAATTGCCGATGACTGGTACCAGCAGTGTCAAGATTTCCCTCTGTGGAGGAGGCTCGTGAAGGATGGTACTGGACATTTGAAGGCAGTCACCCTCCAGCAATAGCAGAGGGCAGAGGAGTGACGCTCACTAGCGGTGGTGTGTTGTGGTGTGTGATGGCGAGTAGACGGAGATCATGCGTAATGAGTTTGAGCGTCTGGCTGCCCGACAACCCATGGAGCTTCTGAGCATGAAGAGGTGACTTCATAAACGCCATCATCAACGCCATCATCAACGCTATCATCAACGCCATCATCAACACCACCATCGTCAACAACACCATCACAGTACCATTATCATCACCATAACCACCATCATCATCATGACCGTCATCATTATCACCATCATCATCGCCTTCATCACCACCACCATCAACACCGTAACCACCATCTCTTTGTGTCCCCATGTATCTGCGCTTCCCCCCACGTGTCCCTGTGTGTGTTCCCGCACGTGTATATCCCGCGTGTCCTCGCGCGTGTCCCCACTTATCCCAACGTGTCCCCACGTGTCTTCCCACACGTACCCGTTTGTCCCCGCGTGTTCCAGGTACGAGCTGCCCCAGCCCCTGGCGGGCCAGCGGAACGACGTGTCGGCGTGGCAGGACAGCGTCGCCAACTCGTGCGCACAGCTGGAGCACCAGGCCGAGCGCATCCTCAACCTCACGCTGCTCGGCTCGCACGGCACAAACGCGTGGCGCGCGCACACGCAGTACGCTCACAGTGCATGTACACAGTATACGGGACACACGCAGTACGCTCACAGTGCATGTACACAGTATACGGGACACACGCAGTATGCTCAGTGCATGTACACAGTATACGGGACACACGCAGTACGCTCACAGTGCATTACACAGTATACGGGACACACGCAGTACGCTCACAGTGCATGTACACAGTATACGGGACACACGCAGTACGCTCACAGTGCATGTACAGAGTATACGGGACACACGCAGTACGCTCACAGTGCACGTACACAGTATATGGGACACACGCAGTACGCTCACAGTGCATGTACACAGTATACAGGACACACGCAGTACGCTCACAGTGCACGTACACAGTATACGGGACACACGCAGTACGCTCACAGTGCATGTACACAGTATACGGGACACACGCAGTACGCTCACAGTGCACGTACACAGTATACGGGACACACGCAGTACGCTCACAGTGCATGTACACAGTATACGGGACACGCAGTACGCTCACAGTGCATGTACACAGTATACGGGACACACGCAGTACGCTTACATTGCATGTACACAGTATACGGGACACACGCAGTACGCTCACAGTGCACGTACACAGTATACGGGACACACGCAGTACGCTCAGTGCATTACACAGTATACGGGACACACGCAGTACGCTCACAGTGCATGTACACAGTATACGGGACACACGCAGTACGCTCACAGTGCATGTACAGAGTATACGGGACACACGCAGTACGCTCAGTGCATGTACACAGTATACGGGACACACGCAGTACGCTCACAGTGCATGTACACAGTATACGGGACACACGCAGTACGCTCACAGTGCATGTACACAGTATACGGGACACGCAGTACGCTCACAGTGCATGTACACTATGCGGGACACACGCAGTATGCTCACAGTGCACGTACACAGTATACAGGACACACGCAGTACGCTCACAGTGCACGTACACAGTATATGGGACACACGCAGTACGCTCACAGTGCATGTACACAGTATACAGGACACACGCAGTACGCTCACAGTGCATGTACACAGTATACGGGACACGCAGTACGCTCACAGTGCATGTACACTATGCGGGACACACGCAGTATGCTCACAGTGCACGTACACAGTATACAGGACACACGCAGTACGCTCACAGTGCACGTACACAGTATATGGGACACACGCAGTACGCTCACAGTGCACGTACACAGTATACAGGACACACGCAGTACGCTCACAGTGCATGTACACAGTATACAGGACACACGCAGTACGCTCACAGTGCACGTACACAGTATACGGGACACACGCAGTACGCTCACAGTGCATGTACACAGTATACGGGACACACGCAGTACGCTCACAGTGCACGTACACAGTATACGGGACACACGCAGTATGCTCACAGTGCACGTACACAGTATACAGGACACACGCAGTACGCTCACAGTGCATGTACACACTATGCGGGACACACGCAGTATGCTCACAGTGCACGTACACAGTATACAGGACACACGCAGTACGCTCACAGTGCACGTACACAGTATACGGGACACACGCAGTACGCTCACAGTGCATGTACACAGTATACGGGACACACGCAGTACGCTCAGTGCACGTACACAGTATACGGGACACACGCAGTACGCTCACAGTGCACGTACACAGTATACGGGACACACGCAGTACGCTCACAGTGCACGTACACAGTATACGGGACACACGCAGTACGCTCACAGTGCACGTACACAGAATACGGGACACACACAGTACGCTCACAGTGCATGTACACCGTATACGGGACACACGCAGTACGCTCACAGTGCATGTACACAGAATACGGGACACACACAGTACGCTCACAGTGCATGTACACCGTATACGGGACACACGCAGTACGCTCACAGTGCATGTACACAGTATACGGGACACGCAGTATGCTCAGTGCATGTACACAGTAAACGGGACACACGCAGTACGCTCACAGTGCATGTACACAGTATACGGGACACACGCAGTACGCTCACAGTGCATGTACACAGTATACGGGACACACGCAGTACGCTCACAGTGCATGTACACAGTATACGGGACACACGCAGTACGCTCACAGTGCACGTACACAGTATACGGGACACACGCAGTATGCTCACAGTGCACGTACACAGTATACAGGACACACGCAGTACGCTCACAGTGCACGTACACAGTATATGGGATACACGCAGTACGCTCACAGTGCACGTACACAGTATACGGGACACACACAGTACGCTCACAGTGCACGTACACAGTATACGGGACACACACAGTACGCTCACAGTGCACGTACACAGTATACGGGACACGCAGTACGCTCACAGTGCACGTACACAGTATACGGGACACACGCAGTACGCTCACAGTGCATGTACACAGTATACGGGACACACGCAGTACGCTCACAGTGCACGTACACAGTATACGGGACACACGCAGTACGCTCACAGTGCACGTACACAGTATACGGGACACACGCAGTACGCTCACAGTGCACGTACACAGTATACGGGACACACGCAGTACGCTCACAGTGCACGTACACAGTATACGGGACACGCAGTACGCTCACAGTGCACGTACACAGTATACGGGACACGCAGTACGCTCACAGTGCATGTACACAGTATACGGGACACACGCAGTACGCTCACAGTGCACGTACACAGTATACGGGACACACGCAGTACGCTCACAGTGCACGTACACAGTATACGGCACACGCAGTACGCTCACAGTGCACGTACACAGTATACGGGACACACACAGTACGCTCACAGTGCATGTACACAGTATACGGGACACACGCAGTACGCTCACAGTGCATGTACACAGTATACGGGACACACGCAGTACGCTCACAGTGCACGTACACAGTATACGGGACACACGCAGTACGCTCAGTGCATGTACACAGTATACGGGACACACACAGTACGCTCACAGTGCATGTACACAGAATACGGGCACACGCAGTACGCTCACAGTGCACGTACACAGTATACGGGACACACGCAGTACGCTCACAGTGCATGTACACAGTATACGGGACACACGCAGTGTGCTCACAGTGCACGTACACAGTATACGGGACACACGCAGTACGCTCACAGTGCATGTACACAGTATACGGGACACGCAGTACGCTCACAGTGCATGTACACAGTATACGGGACACACGCAGTACGCTTACATTGCATGTACACAGTATACGGGACACACGCAGTACGCTCACAGTGCACGTACACAGTATACGGGACACACGCAGTACGCTCAGTGCATGTACACAGTATACGGGACACACGCAGTTCGTATTAATTACACAGTATGACTGCAGTACACATACACAGTAAGCATGGCACCAACACGTGGCGCGCACACGCAATATGCGTGCAGTACACATACACAGTATGCACGCAGTACGCACACGGCACCAACGCATAGTGCGCACACAGTACGCACACAGTACGCACACAGTACGCATGCAGTATATAAACTGGACATGCACGCAGTATACACACACGCATTACTAAGTACACACATAAGATACACAGTATATAAATGCAGTACGCAGTACACACGGCCCCAACGTGTATCACACTCATGCAGTATACGCAGCACTCGCATAGTACGCACGTGCAGTACAGGACGAGGTGTATTCTTAGGTTTTTTCGGTAAAGTCACGTAGGTAAAACATTAAAATTAATGAAAGTACAATAAAATAAAAATCACGATGTTTCGGAGGCAACACAAGTCTCCGTCATCAGGTGGGACCGTCACAGCCAGATTTGCTGCATCAAGTGAGGCAATGATTCAAGATGTAATCCCTTAAAAGCAAGTTGAGGGGGGAGGAGAGGGGGGGGAGCTTATCAGAATGTGGTAGCCAATGAATGGAACGTATCGGGAGGGAGGGGGGCGGGGCTCAAAGGCGGCACGAAGTGCCACGTTCCATTAATTGGCTACCACATTCTGATAAGCTCCCCCCCTCTCCTCCCCCGTCAACTTGCTTTTAAGGGATTACATCTTGAATCATTGCCTCACTTGATGCAGCAAATCTGGCTGTGACGGTCCCACCTGATGACGGAGACTTGTGTTGCCTCCGAAACGTCGTGATTTTTATTTTATTTTACTTTCATTAATTTTAATGTTTTACCTACGTGACTTTACCGAAAAAACCTAAGAATATGAATCCTTGCAGTCACGAAAGCTTCAAATCTAGAATTAAGGACGAGGTGTGTGGTGTGTGTACACGGTCTGGTATGTGTACAAAGGGTGTGGCTGGGATGTGACTTGGGTGTGCAGTGTGTGGTACATGCTGGGGTGTCTGGTGTGTTTTAGGTTTCTGTCTCAAATGGCTGAGCAAGCACAGAAGGAGCTGCAGAAACTGAGGTCAGTAGTTAGGGTAACACATTTACATCGCGTGTGTTTACACCTGTGTGTGTGTAGGTAGCGGATAGTACTGCAGCAGGTAGTGCGCTGCGCTATGAACCCGACGACCCGAGTTCGATTCTCACTCTCGATTATCTGAATCGGTCCTGGGCCTTCCCTAAATTGACTTGGCCTCAGATGAGTACCTGGTGCGATGTGTAAACATTTCCACTGGGGAGACAAAGGCGGCCGAGCGTGGTGCTGGTCACCCATCCCTTTGTGTGCCGTGTCCTTGATAGGTACTCGTGAACAGCACTTGCCCCAACAGTCAGTGTAGGCTACACGGGGGATCTTTGACTGTGTGTTCATGAACCCATGTGTGTGAGCAGGAAGGACATCCAGGACATAAACTGGCAACGCAAGAGCGAGCAGCTGAGCACCGGGGTGGAGCTACGGAGGATGGAGACACAGTACAACTTGCCCATCACCACACCCTCACCACAACTCACCATACCCTCACCACACCCACACCAAAAGCCATCCTTACCCACACCTCACACATCTGGTGGTTGTTCTTGAGGTGGTTGTGCCGTGGCTTCTAGTGGTTCGTGCTAAGTGGTTTATTGCTGTTGCCGACAGTTCTTGTGGTCACTGGCGGAGCCAGTTGGGGGGAGGTGGGGTGGCACGTTGCCCCCCCAATGATCCGATCGAAATCCATAATTTCGATCGGATCATTGGGGTTTATTAGTAATAAATCGGCATTTTGCAACCCCCACTGTCACTGTGTAGCATATTACGTGCCAGGGACTCTATGAGATGATAGGACAGTAGTCGAGTCCATAATTGGCAATAAGTAACGGCAAAGCAGTTATAAGTGACTCAGAATTGTGCGCAGCTGCGTATACAGGGCACGACTTCCCTGAAGGCATTCACCTTCAGCGAGCGCGATGCCGATCACACCCCGCGGTTCGAATTCGACCCTCGATCGATGGCTGCGCCATCGCCGCACACGCGTCGAATAAAAAGCAAGGGACAAGTCCTTACTAACAACTCCTCTATCAGTTTTCATTGCTGGAGGGGGGTTGTCCCCCCTACCTGAAAATCCTGGCTCCGCTATTGGTTGTGGGGTTGTTGCTGATGGTGGCTACTGATGGTGGTTGTAGTGGTTACTGATGGTGATTGTTGCTGATGGTGTTGTGGTGGTGCAGGTGGGCGACCCTGGTGAGCAAGAATTATGAGATTGAGCGAGCGGTGCTGCAGCTTGAGGCGGAGGTCGCCTCGCTCAAACAAAAACAACCGCAACAAGCACCGCAACAAGCACCGCAACAAGCACCGCAACAAGCACCGCAACAAGCACCGCAACAAGCACCGCAACCACAAGGCGAGGAGGAGGAAGAGGAGAAGATGGCACCCTGACCCCTTCATGACAACCACGCTCATACACCATGGCAACCAAGCAACACCCACACACGACCCACTGTGTCTGTGATAACCATGCAACACCCTGTCGCCGTGGCACGTGCACAACACCGAGACGTCACTGTGACCAGACAAAGTGCACACACCCTGTTGTCACCATGATAATCGCACATCACCTCGATGTCTCCATGACAACCACACAACACCCACATACCGTTGTCACTGTGGCAACCACACAACACCCCAAATTTACCGCACAGCCACACATCAACCATCATGGGGCGGTCCCCCCCCCCTTGCCATCACGCCGTCACCGCACCAGAATAAACACTGACACTCATCGAGTTCTCTCCAGATTTTATTGTGGTCGCGGTCGGCATCAAACGTGTCTCTGGTCACGGCCACCGTGAACCTCCAACCAATGTCCGACGTTTCTTTGTGCGTGTTGGGAGCTCGACGAGACATGGGGGACGCGGCCGTCCGCTTGGCGCAAGTTTGGGCATCCAGTCGCCACGCACATCACCTTCCCCGGAAAGGTCACGCTGATGTGCGAGTGTTTGGCTAGCGGAGAACCGTAGCAGCAGTCGCCATTCCCCACCAAGTAGCAGTGACATCACCATAGCGGTTGTGCCAGGCTAGGTGTACCTTGAGGCTACCAAAGTATTGAGGGCTCGGTGGTCGGTCTCCAGACAGTCCTGGGTGCCATGGGTTGACAGATGACTGGCAGATGCACCACCTGTGCGCCCTACTGCGCCAACTTGCTGAGTTTTATCCTGCTGGTGTGTCGCTCATTGTTGTGAGCGTTGCTTGTCTGTCCTCCACTGTTCTTGGAGGGCGACTGCTTCCAGCTCCCCAGTAGCGTCATTCACGAACCTCCTCCACAGAGGCTGATCTTGAGACTACTGGTACCAGTCATCGGCAAATCCATTCAACTGTATATCCTCCAGTACCACATCAGCCCCCTCATCTGGCCAAACAAGCTATTTGGGCATGTGGTGGCTGGGCATGGAGGCTACGTGACCCAGCCAAGGCAGCCTTGCCTGCCGGAGGAGCTCACTGACGGGACTGTCCAGATCTTTCAAGGATCTGTGAACTCACACAATCCAGTGTGCTTAAACCCAGGATAGATCATAAGCAGGTCAGCCTGAATGTTTATAACCGGCACAGATGTTCATTCAAAGGGATCCATGTTTTGCAACCATAGAGAGGGGAGGGCATAACTGTCTGAGAAGACCTACAGCTAAGTGTGGAGTGATAGACCAGGTTGATTCCACACAGTGTCACACAGCTGATGAAAAGAGAATGTCGCTCAACGGATGTGTAGCAAGATCTCTGCTGCAAAACCAGAATTAGTCATAAGCACACTGTGTATGAAAACGTTTCCACAACTGCCCCATCATGGGGAGTGGAGTAGGTGGAGTGTTTGACGAAACAAAATACCCAGGAAGGTGATTTGTTGGGCTGATGGCAATGCCCCCCACCTTTTAGTAGCACGCTCCAGGTTCAGCAGCAGAGCGTCCAACTCCAACAAGTCAATCGCAATTACCAGTTCATCAGCATACATTACATGGTTGATTACACCTGGCCATCGATCAGCCTCCCATTGTATCTGTACCTGATGGAAATTCCTCTGGTACAGCCATGTAAAGCGTCTGGAACTATTTGGTCACAGATGTTAAATAGTGTACACAGCCATACTCACACTTATCAAAGACCCCCAAAGTATTTAACTCGCTGTTGGGGCAAGTGCTGTTAGGAGAGCACCCATTAAGGCCAGCATGGCACACGAGGGGGTGGGTGTCCCGGCTGCCTTTGTCTTCTCAGTGGTGATGTTTAGACACCGCACCAGGTACTCATTTAATGACGAGTTGACCTAGGGGAGGCCCAGGACTGGTTAAAATATTTGCCACTCATTCGTCATGAGCAGGAATTAAACTCTGGTCACCAGGTTCATAGTGCAGTGTGCAAACCACTGTCCCACCACTCCCCACACCTCGCACACTAATTTATGTACATTTACAGAGATATAAATAAGTGCTAATTAATTACAAGGGCAATAATGATAAGGAACTGGTTTCGGGTTAATTCAAAATATATTTGTCACACTTGATTATTCTGATTCATGTGTGTTTAGTTATAGATATGTAGATTCTATACGACATTCTGCAAGTGTTACAATTTGGAAGCATTGATTCAGTTCAAGCAGACTGGACCGGTTTCGACATGCAGTGTCTCATCAGCAGAGCCAGGCTCGCTTGAACCAATGCTGGTGATCTGCCGGATGTTTATAGGCACGGACCCTCTCTGTTAGACGTGGGCCCTATTTCTACGCAGAACACTAGTACACACACAGTGATAACTATTGATTCCTTTACCTTGCAGATTAACTTCAATGTCGATTCTTCACTCGGCCAATGGCAACTGAAAAATCACGACATCTAACCTTAACTCATTATCACCATCGTCGCCATCTCACAGAGTCCTCTCACTGCCGATCCTCGGCAAGTGATCCTCGGTGAGCCTAGATGACCGGCGGGCCCGGATAATCCTGCGACCCGCACCAAAACTCAGCTGGCTGCGGAATCTCCAGCAACCAGCAGGACTCCCCTACATCATCCTCATCACCACCACCACCATGGTCGTCGTCGTTGCTGCCATCATCACGGTGGTGGAGCGGCGCGGTGGACTGCGGGGGGAGGAGGCCGCGCCCCGGCGTGGCGGTGGCCGGCACGAGCGGGCGGTAGTAGTGGCAGTCGCGGCCCGTGTCCGGGGAGTAGGGGGGCGCCAGGATGTCGAGGAAGGCAGCCGGGCCACCGACGGCGTCCACGCGGTGCAGGTTGCCGCGGTGTGGCGTGAGCAGGCGGCAGGGCGCCAGCGCGGAGAGGCGCTGCTGCCCGTGGTAGCGCGACGCACGCACGAGGGGCCGCTGCCACGCGCGCAGTGGCGGCTGTGGGGGGGGGGGGGGCACAGCGCGAAATGTGAAGTCTCAATGAGTCACAGCACCGCACAGAGGATGTCACCCATTGCCATTAGCTTCAATGCTGCACTTTGTTTTCTGTTGTCATCGTGGTGGCCCGGGTCACCCTTGCGAATGCGACTCCTGTCCTGGTTTTTCGAATTCTCACCGGGTTACACAGCGCGGATTTGAATGAAAGTCACCGTTGACCAAGACACCGATCACGCGCTTATGGGTCTCTGTGCGAGTCTGCGTCTCAAAACTCTGGGGCTCCATCATTCTCAGGCAGCATGCCGGGTACCTACCACGAATCGTCCCGTGGCTCACTTACACACTCACCTCCCTCCCTCCCCAACTCACCCACTCACCTTCCTCCCCCACTCACCTCCCTCCCTCACCACTCACCTCCCTCACCACTCACCTCCCTCACCACTCACCTCCCTCACCACTCACCTCCCTCCCTCACCCACTCACCTCCCTCCCTACCTCACCAACTCACCTCCCTCCCTCACCAACTCACCCACTCACCTCCCACCGACTTCGCTCACCCATTCACCTCCCTCCCTCACCACTCACCTCCCTCCCTCACCACTCACCTCCCTCACCACTCACCTCCCTCACCACTCACCTCCTTCACCACTCACCTCCCTCACCACTCACCTGCCTCACCCACTCACTCACCTCCCTCCCTCACCCACTCACTCACCTCCCTCCCTCACTCACCTCCCTCACCACTCACCTCCTTCAACACTCATCTCCCTCACCACTCACCTCCCTCACCACTCACTCACCTCCCTTCCTCACCCACTCACTCACCTCACCACTCACCTCCCTCCCTCACCACTCACCTCCCTCACCACTCACCTCCCTCACCCACTCACTCACCTCCCTCCCTCACCACTCACCTCCCTCCCTCACCACTCACCTCCCTCCCTCACCACTCACCTCCCTCACACTCACCTCCCTCACTCACCACTCACCTCCCTCACCACTCACCTCCCTCACCTCACCTCCCTCCCTCACCACTCACCTCCCTCACCTCCCTCACCACTCACCTCCCTCACCACTCACCTCCCTCCCTCCCTCACCACTCACCTCCCTCACCACTCACCTCCCTCACCACTCACCTCCCTCCCTCACCCACTCACCTCCCTCACCACTCACCTCCCTCACCACTCACCTCCCTCACTCACCACTCACCTCCCTCACCACTCACCTCCCTCACCACTCACCTCCCTCCCTCACCACTCACCTCCCTCACCACTCACCTCCCTCACTCACCACTCACCTCCCTCACCACTCACCTCCCTCACCACTCACCTCCTTCACCACTCACCTCCTTCACCACTCACCTCCCTCACCACTCACTTCCCTCACCACTCACCTCCCTCACCACTCACCTCCCTCACCACTCACTCACCTCCCTCCCTCACCCACTCACTCACCTCCCTCCCTCACCACTCACCTCCCTCACCACTCACCTCCCTCCCCTCACCACTCACCTCACCCACTCACTCACCTCCGTCCCTCACCCACTCACCTCCCTCCCTCACCACTCACCTCCCTCACCACTCACCTCCCTCCCTCACCACTCACCTCCCTCAACCACTCACCTCCCTCACCACTCACCTCCCTCACTCACCACTCACCTCCCTCACCACTCACCTCCCTCCCTCACCACTCACCTCCCTCCCTCACCACTCACCTCCCTCAACCACTCACCTCCCTCACCACTCACCTCCCTCCCTCACCACTCACCTCCCTCACCACTCACCTCCCTCCCTCACCACTCACCTCCCTCACCACTCACCTCCCTCCCTCACCACTCACCTCCCTCCCTCACCACTCACCTCCCTCGACCACTCACCTCCCTCACCACTCACCTCCCTCACCACTCACCTCCCTCACCACTCACCTCCCTCACCACTCACCTCCCTCCCTCACCACTCACCTCCCTCCCTCACCACTCACCTCCCTCACCACTCACCTTCCTAACCACTCACCTCCCTCACCACTCACCTCCCTCCCTCACCACTCACCTCCCTCACCACTCACCTCCCTCCCTCACCACTCACCTCCCTCCCTCTCCACTCACCTCCCTCCCTCACCACTCACCTCCCTCACCACTCACCTCCCTCACCACCCTGACCACTCACCTCCCTCCCTCACCACTCACCTCCCTCACCACTCACCTTCCTCACCACTCACCTCCCTCCCTCACCACTCACCTCCCTCCCTCACCACTCACCTCCCTCACCACTCACCTCCCTCACCACTCACCTCCCTCTCCACTCACCTCCCTCCCTCACCCACTCACCTCCCTCACCACCCTGACCACTCACCTCCCTCCCTCACCACTCACCTCCCTCACCACTCACCTCCCTCTCCACTCACCTCCCTCACCACCCTGACCACTCACCTCCCTCACCACTCACCTCCCTCCCTCACCACTCACCTTCCTCACCACTCACCTCCCTCCCTCACCACTCACCTCCCTCCCTCACCACTCACCTCCCTCACCACTCCCTCCTCACACCACTCACCTCCCTCCCTCACCACTCACCTCCCTCACCACTCACCTCCCTCACCACTCACCTCCCTCCCTCACCACTTACCTCCCTCACCACTCACCTCCCTCACTCACCACTCACCTCCCTCACTCACCACTCACCTCCCTCACCACTCACCTCCCTCCACCTCCCGCTCACCTCCCGCTCACCTCCATCACCACTCACCTCCTCCCTCACCACTCACCTCCCTCACCACTCACCTCCCTCACCACTCACCTCCCTCACCACTCACCTCCCTCACCACTGACCTCATTCTCCACTCAACTCCCTCCCTCACCCACTCACCTCCCTCACCACCCTGACCACTCACCTCCCTCCCTCACCACTCACCTCCCTCACCACTCACCTCCCTCCCTCACCACTCACCTCCCTCCCTCACCACTCACCTCCCTCAACCACTCACCTCCCTCACCACTCACCTCCCTCCCTCACCACTCACCTCCCTCCCTCACCACTCACCTCCCTCACCACTCACCTCCCTCACCACTCACCTCCCTCACCACTCACCTCCCTCCCTCACCACTCACCTCCCTCACCACTCACCTCCCTCACCACTCACCTCCCTCACCACTCACCTCCCTCACCACTCACCTCCCTCACCACTCACCTCCCTCCCTCACCACTCACCTCCCTCTCCACTCACCTCCCTCCCTCACCACTCACCTCCCTCACCACTCACCTTCCTAACCACTCACCTCCCTCACCACTCACCTCCCTCCCTCACCACTCACCTCCCTCACCACTCACCTCCCTCACCACTCACCTCCCTCCCTCACCACTCACCTCCCTCCCTCTCCACTCACCTCCCTCCCTCACCACTCACCTCCCTCACCACTCACCTCCCTCACCACCCTCACCACTCACCTCCCTCCCTCACCACTCACCTCCCTCACCACTCACCTTCCTCACCACTCACCTCCCTCCCTCACCACTCACCTCCCTCCCTCACCACTCACCTCCCTCACCACTCACCTCCCTCACCACTCACCTCCCTCTCCACTCACCTCCCTCCCTCACCCACTCACCTCCCTCACCACCCTGACCACTCACCTCCCTCCCTCACCACTCACCTCCCTCACCACTCACCTCCCTCTCCACTCACCTCCCTCACCACCCTGACCACTCACCTCCCTCACCACTCACCTCCCTCCCTCACCACTCACCTTCCTCACCACTCACCTCCCTCCCTCACCACTCACCTCCCTCCCTCACCACTCACCTCCCTCACCACTCGCCTTCCTCACCACTCACCTCCCTCCCTCACCACTCACCTCCCTCACCACTCACCTCCCTCACCACTCACCTCCCTCCCTCACCACTTACCTCCCTCACCACTCACCTCCCTCACCACTCACCTCCCTCACTCACCACTCACCTCCCTCACTCACCACTCACCTCCCTCACCACTCACCTCCCTCCACCTCCCGCTCACCTCCCGCTCACCTCCATCACCACTCACCTCCCTCCCTCACCACTCACCTCCCTCACCACTCACCTCCCTCACCACTCACCTCCCTCACCACTCACCTCCCTCACCACTCACCTCATTCTCCACTCAACTCCCTCCCTCACCCACTCACCTCCCTCACCACCCTGACCACTCACCTCCCTCCCTCACCACTCACCTCCCTCACCACTCACCTCCCTCACCACTCACCTCCCTCTCCACTCACCTCCCTCTCCACTCACCTCCCTCACCACCCTGACCACTCACCTCCCTCACCACTCACCTCCCTCTCCACTCACCTCCCTCACCACCCTGACCACTCACCTCCCTCACCACTCACCTCCCTCCCTCACCACTCACCTTCCTCACCACTCACCTCCCTCACCACTCACCTCCCTCACCACTCACCTCCCTCCCTCACCACTCACCTCCCTCACCACTCACCTCCCTCACCACTCACCTCCCTCACCACTCACCTCCCTCACCACTCACCTCCCTCACCACTCACCTCATTCTCCACTCAACTCCCTCCCTCACCCACTCACCTCCCTCACCACCCTGACCACTCACCTCCCTCCCTCACCACTCACCTCCCTCTCCACTCACCTCCCTCTCCACTCACCTCCCTCACCACCCTGACCACTCACCTCCCTCACCACCCTGACCACTCACCTCCCTCACCACTCACCTCCCTCACCACTCACCTCCCTCCCTCACCACTCACCTCCCTCTCCACCCTGACCACTCACCTCCCTCACCACTCACCTCCCTCACCACTCACCTCCCTCCCTCTCCACTCACCTCCCTCACCACCCTGACCACTCACCTCCCTCACCACCCTGACCACTCACCTCCCTCACCACTCACCTCCCTCACCACTCACCTCCCTCACCACTCACCTCCCTCACCACTCACCTCCCTCTCCACTCACCTCCCTCCCTCACCACTCACCTCCCTCACCACTCACCTCCCTCCCTCACCACTCACCTCCTCCCTCACCACTCACCTCCTCAACCACTCACCTCCCTCACCACTCACCTCCCTCACCACTCACCTCCCTCACCACTCACCTCCCTCACCACTCACCTCCCTCACCACTCACCTCCCTCACCACTCACCTCCCTCCCTCACCACTCACCTCCCTCACCACTCACCTCCCTCACCACTCACCTCCCTCTCCACTCACCTCCCTCCCTCACCACTCACCTCCCTCACCACTCACCTCCCTCCCTCACCACTCACCTCCCTCCCTCACCACTCACCTCCCTCAACCACTCACCTCCCTCACCACTCACCTCCCTCACCACTCACCTCCCTCACCACTCACCTCCCTCACACTCACCTCCCCCTCACCACTCACCTCCCTCCCTCACCACTCACCTCCCTCACCACTCACCTCCCTCCCTCACCACTCACCTCCTCCCTCACCACTCACCTCCCTCACCACTCACCTCCCTCACCACTCACCTCCCTCCCTCACCACTCACCTCCCTCACCACTCACCTCCCTCACCACTCACCTCCCTCACCACTCAACTCCCTCCCTCACCACTCACCTCCCCCTCACCCATCACCTCCTCACCACTCACCTCCCTCACCACTCACCTCCCTCACCACTCACCTCCCTCACCACTACCTCCCTCACCACTCACCTCCCTCACCACTCACCTCCCTCACCACTCACCTCCCTCCCTCACCACTCACCTCCCTCTCCACTCACCTCCCTCCCTCACCACTCACCTCCCTCTCCACTCACCTTCCTAACCACTCACCTCCCTCACCACTCACCTCCCTCCCTCACCACTCACCTCCCTCACCACTCACCTCCCTCCCTCACCACTCACCTCCCTCCCTCTCCACTCACCCTCCCTCCCTCACCACTCACCTCCCTCACCACTCACCTCCCTCACCACCCTGACCACTCACCTCCCTCCCTCACCACTCACCTCCCTCACCACTCACCTTCCTCACCACTCACCTCCCTCCCTCACCACTCACCTCCCTCCCTCACCACTCACCTCCCTCACCACTCACCTCCCTCACCACTCACCTCCCTCCCTCACCCACTCACCTCCCTCACCACCCTGACCACTCACCTCCCTCCCTCACCACTCACCTCCCTCACCCCTCACCTCCCTCTCCACTCACCTCCCTCACCACCCTGACCACTCACCTCCCTCACCACTCACCTCCCTCCCTCACCACTCACCTTCCTCACCACTCACCTCCCTCCCTCACCACTCACCTCCCTCCCTCACCACTCACCTCCCTCACCACTCGCCTTCCTCACCACTCACCTCCCTCCCTCACCACTCACCTCCCTCACCACTCACCTCCCTCACCACTCACCTCCCTCCCTCACCACTTACCTCCCTCACCACTCACCTCCCTCACCACTCACCTCCCTCACTCACCACTCACCTCCCTCACTCACCACTCACCTCCCTCACCACTCACCTCCCTCCACCTCCCGCTCACCTCCCGCTCACCTCCATCCCACTCACCTCCCTCCCTCACCACTCACCTCCCTCACCACTCACCTCCCTCACCACTCACCTCCCTCACCACTCACCTCCCTCACCACTCACCTCATTCTCCACTCAACTCCCTCCTCACCCACTCACCTCCCTCACCACCCTGACCACTCACCTCCCTCCCTCACCACTCACCTCCCTCACCACTCACCTCCCTCACCACTCACCTCCCTCTCCACTCACCTCCCTCTCCACTCACCTCCCTCACCACCCTGACCACTCACCTCCCTCACCACTCATCTCCCTCACCACTCACCTCCCTCACCACTCACCTCCCTCTCCACTCACCTCCCTCACCACCCTGACCACTCACCTCCCTCACCACTCACCTCCCTCCCTCACCACTCACCTCCCTCCCTCACCACTCACCTTCCTCACCACTCACCTCCCTCACCACTCACCTCCCTCACCACTCACCTCCCTCCCTCACCACTCACCTCCCTCACCACTCACCTCCTCACCACTCACCTCCCTCACCACTCACCTCAAGGCCTCACCACTCACCTCCCTCACCACTCACCTCATTCTCCACTCAACTCCCTCCCTCACCCACTCACCTCCCTCACCACCCTGACCACTCACCTCCCTCCCTCACCACTCACCTCCCTCTCCACTCACCTCCCTCTCCACTCACCTCCCTCACCACCCTGACCACTCACCTCCTTCACCACCCTGACCACTCACCTCCCTCACCACTCACCTCCCTCACCACTCACCTCCCTCCCTCACCACTCACCTCCCTCACCACTCACCTCCCTCTCCACTCACCTCCCTCACCACTCACCTCCCTCACCACTCACCTCCCTCACCACTCACCTCCCTCTCCACTCACCTCCCTCCCTCACCACTCACCTCCCTCACCACTCACCTCCCTCACCACTCCCCTCCCTCACCACTCACCTCCCTCACCACTCACCTCCCTCCCTCACCCCGCCCCGTGATCCCGTCCCCACTGCCGCTCAACCCCTCAACTCGAGGACCCCGGGAGGACCCCATCCACAGCCTCCAGCACTGCCCGCGGGCCCCCTCTGAGAGCCGCCCCGCGGGGGGCCGAAGGGGCCCCCTTTGTCTTCCCCCCGCGCCCCGCGCGGTCGTCACCTTGAACTCGGGGGGCGCGGGGTCCGCGGCGGCGCGGCTCCCCGCGGGCTCCCGCCGGGGCCCCCGGTCCCACTCGCTGAGCCGCAGCTCCCCGTAGAGGACCTTGAGCAGGCCGTGCATGCCCGGGTGGTCGTGCAGCGGGATTGAGGCCCCCGCCCGCAGCACGAAGATCCCCATGGAGAAGTGGACCCCCTCGGCGATCTCCATGTAGCTCACGGGGGGTGGCCCGAACCCCCCGGACATCGAGTACCCACCGCCGTCGTCCTCATCCTCATCGACTCCGTCTCCTCCCTTCCCGGGCGCCACGTTCACGTCCTCGGGCCGCACCGCGTCCAGGAGGGCGCGCAGGGCCGCGAGGTTCTCGGCGAAGGCCGCGGGGTCCGAGCCCCGGGCCGCCGCCGCCCTCCCCGAGGGTTTGCTGAAGGTTCTCAGCGCCTGCCGGAAGATCCCCTTCACCGCGCTGCCCGCCATGGCCGCCACGACTCCCAACTCCTCCTCGCCGCCGCCGCCGCCTCCTCCTCCTCGCCGCCTGCTGCTGCTGCTGCCCGCCATGCGAGCTGCAGGACGGGGCCAGCTGGGGGGGGGGGCGTGTGACCCCCGTGTCGCCATGTTGGGTAGGGAGACAACAGCGCTCATGCCATGCCGGCGGGTGCGCAGAGCACCCGGCGGGTGCGCAGAGCACCCGGCGGGTGCGCAGAGCACCCGGCGGGTGCGCAGAGCACCCGGCGGGTGCGCAGAGCACCCGCGGGTGCGCAGAGCACCCGGCGGTTGCGCAGAGCACCCGCGGGTGCGCAGAGCACCCGGCGGTGCGCAGAGCACCCGGCGGGTGCGCAGAGCACCCGGCGGGTGCGCAGAGCACCCGGCGGGTGCGCAGAGCACCCGGCTGTTCGCAGAGCACCCGGCGGGTGCGCAGAGCACCCGGCGGGTGCGCAGAGCACCCGCGGGTGCGCAGAGCACCCGGCGGGTGCGCAGAGCACCCGGCGGGTGCGCAGAGCACCCGGCGGTGCGCAGAGCACCCGGCGGGTGCGCAGAGCACCCGGCGTGTCGCAGAGCACCCGGCGGGTGCGCAGAGCACCCGGGGCGTGCGCAGCACCCGGCGGGTGCGCAGAGCACCCGGCGGGTGCGCAGAGCACCGGCGGGTGCGCAGAGCACCCGGCGGGTGCGCAGAGCACCGGCGGGTGCGCAGAGCACCGGCGGGTGCGCAGAGCACCCGGCGGGGTGCGCAGAGCACCCGGGGGTGCGCAGAGCACCCGGCGGGTGCGCAGAGCACCCGGCGGGTGCGCAGAGCACCCGGCGGGTGCGCAGAGCACCCGGCGGGTGCGCAGAGCACCCGGCGGTGCGCAGAGCACCCGGCGGGTGCGCAGAGCACCCGGCGGGTGCGCAGAGCACCCGGCGGGTGCGCAGAGCACCCGGCGGGTGCGCAGAGCACCCGGCGGGTGCGCAGAGCACCCGGCGGTGCGCAGAGCACCCGGCGGGTGCGCAGAGCACCGGCGGGTGCGCAGAGCACCCGGCGGGTGCGCAGAGCACCCGGCGGGTGCGCAGAGCACCCGCGGGTGCGCAGAGCACCCGGCGGGTGCGCAGAGCACCCGGCGGGTGCGCAGAGCACCCGGCGGGTGCGCAGAGCACCCGGCGGGTGCGCAGAGCACCCGGCGGGTGCGCAGAGCAGCGGGTGCGCAGACCCGGCGGGTGCGCAGAGCCCGGCGGGTGCGCAGAGCACCGGCGGGTGCGCAGAGCACCCGGCGGGTGCGCAGAGCACCCGGCGGGTGCGCAGAGCACCCGGGGGTGCGCAGAGCACCCGGCGGGTGCGCAGAGCACCCGGCGGGTGCGCAGAGCACCCGGGGGTGCGCAGAGCACCCGGCGGGTGCGCAGAGCACCGGCGGGTGCGCAGAGCACCCGGCGGGTGCGCAGAGCACCCGGCGGGTGCGCAGAGCACCCGGCGGGTGCGCAGAGCACCCGGCGGGTGCGCAGAGCACCCGGCGGGTGCGCAGAGCACCCGGCGGGTGCGCAGAGCACCCGGCGGTTTCATGTGCGCAGAGCACCCGGCTGTGCGCAGCGCACCCGGCGGTGTGCGCAGAGCACCCGGCGGGTGCGCAGAGCACCGGCGGTGCGCAGAGCACCCGGCGGGTGCGCAGAGCACCCGGCGGGTGCGCAGAGCACCCGGCGGGTGCGCAGAGCACCCGGCGGGTGCGCAGAGCACCCGGCGGGTGCGCAGAGCACCCCGGCGGGTTGGCCGGCCAACCGGAGGGGGCAGAGCACCGGCGGGTGCGCAGAGCACCCGGCGGGTGCGCAGAGCACCCGGCGGGTGCGCAGAGCACCCGGCGGGTGCGCAGAGCACCCGGCGGGTGCGCAGAGCACCCGGCGGGTGCGCAGAGCACCCGGCGGGTGCGCAGAGCACCCGGCGGTGCGCAGAGCAACCCGGCGGGTGCGCAGAGCACCCAGGCGGGTGCGCAGAGCACCCGGCGGGTGCGCAGAGCACCCGGCGGGGTGCGCAGAGCACCCGGCGGGTGCCAGAGCACCCGGCGGGTGCGCAGAGCACCCGGCGGGTGCGCAGAGCACCCGGCGGGTGCGCAGAGCACCCGGCGGGTGCCGCAGAGCACCCGGCGGGTGCGCAGAGCACCCGGCGTGTGCGCAGAGCACCCGGCGGGTGCGCAGAGCACCCGGCGGGTGCGCAGAGCACCCGGCGGGTGCGCAGAGACCCGGCGGGTGCGCAGCAGCACCCGGCGGGTGCGCAGAGCACCCGGCGGGTGCGCAGAGCACCCGGCGGGTGGCAGCCAGCAACCCGGCGGTGCGCAGAGCACCCGGCGGGTGCGCAGAGCACCCGGCGGGTGCGCAGAGCACACCGGCGGGTGGCGCAGAAGCACCCGGCGGGTGCGCAGAGCACCCGGCGGGTGCGCAGAGCACCCCCGGCGGGTGCGCAGAGCACCCGGCGGGTGCGCAGAGCACCCGGCGGGTGCGCAGAGCACCACCGGCGGGTGCGCAGAGCACCCGGCGGGTGCGCAGAGCACCCGGCGGGTGCGCAGAGCACCCGGCGGGGTGCGCATAGCACCCGGCGGGTGCGCAGAGCACCCGGCGGGGGCGGGTGTGCGCAGAGCACCCGGCGGGTGCGCAGAGCACCCGGCGGGGTGCGCAGAGCACCCGGCGGGTGCGCAGAGCACCGGCGGGTGCGCAGAGCACCCGGCGGGTGCGCAGAGCACCCGGCGGGTGCGCAGAGCACCCGGCGGTGTGCGCAGAGCACCCGGCGGGTGCGCAGAGCACCCGGCGGGTGCGCAGAGCACCCGGCGGGTGCGCAGAGCACCCGGCGGGTGCGCAGAGCCACCCGGCGGGTGCGCAGAGCCACCCGGCGGGTGCGCAGAGCACCCGGCGGGTGCGCAGAGCACCCGGCGGGTGCGCAGAGCACCCGGCGGGTGCGCAGAGCACCGGCGGGTGCGCAGAGCACCCGGCGGGTGCGCAGAGCACCCGGCGGGTGCGCAGAGCACCCGGCGGGTGCGCAGAGCACCCGGCGGAGTGCGCAGAGCACCCGGCGGGTGCGCAGAGCACCGGCGGGTGCGCAGAGCACCCGGCGGGTGCGCAGAGCACCCGGCGGGTGCGCAGAGCACCGGCGGGTGCGCAGAGCACCCGGCGGGTGCGCAGAGCACCCGGCGGGTGCGCAGAGCACCCGGCGGGTGCGCAGAGCACCCGGCGGGTGCGCAGAGCACCCGGCGGGTGCGCAGGCACCGGCGGGTGCGCAGAGCACCCGGCGGGTGCGCAGAGCACCCGGCGGGTGCGCAGAGCACCCGGCGGGTGCGCAGAGCACCCGGCGGGTGCGCAGAGCACCCGGCGGGTGCGCAGAGCACCCGGGGGTGCGCAGAGCACCCGGCGGGTGCGCAGAGCACCCGGCGGGTGCGCAGAGCACCGGCGGGTGCGCAGAGCACCCGGCGGGTGCGCAGAGCACCCGGCGGGTGCGCAGAGCACCCGGGGGTGCGCAGAGCACCCGGCGGGTGCGCAGAGCACCGGCGGGTGCGCAGAGCACCCGGCGGGTGCGCAGAGCACCGGGGGTGCGCAGAGCACCGGCGGTGTGCGCAGAGCACCCGGCGGGTGCGCAGAGCACCCGGCGGGTGCGCAGAGCACCCGGCGGGTGCGCAGAGCACCGGCGGGTGCGCAGAGCACCCGGCGGGTGCGCAGAGCACCCGGCGGGTGCGCAGAGCACCCGGCGGGTGCGCAGAGCACCCGGCGGGTGCGCAGAGCACCCGGCGGGTGCGCAGAGCACCCGGCGGGTGCGCAGAGCACCCGGCGGGTGCTCTGCATGAGGTTAAAATAAGAATAGGCTTTATATTCTTAGGTTTTTTCGGTAAAGTCACGTAGGTAAAACATTAAAATTAATAAAAGTAATAAAAATCAAGACGTTTCGGAGGCAACACAAGCTTCCGTCTTCAGGTGGAACCGTCACAGCCCGACAGCTGTATCAAGTAAATGAGAGATTACAAGAGATACCACTCCGTATATATAATGGTTGAGGGGGGGGGTGGCCAGGAACGGCTCACTTTTCATTATTATGGTAAGGTGCAGCTTGAGACTATGAATAGACTACATAACAAATGACTGAGCCTTTATTATGGAGAGGTGCGGTTTGTGACTACGCCTAGCCTACATAACAAAATGCTGCAAATGAGAGCTGTCGGGCTGTGACGGTTCCACCTGAAGACGGAAGCTTGTGTTGCCTCCGAAACGTCGTGATTTTTATTTTTTTATTTCTATTTTATTAATTTTAATTTTTTACCTACGTGACTTTAACGAAAAAACCTAAGAATATGAATCCTTGCAGTCACGAAAGCTTCAAATCTAGAAAGAATAGGCTTTATACTTTCTGACAATAAAACAGGTGTTAAGATGTTCGAACACCAAATAGATCCCTTTTGCAAGGCATCAAGTCTGCATTAACCCCACTAACTTGTGGCAAAACATGAAAACATGCTCTAATAAAAATATAATAGATCACGACTGTTTGATCGCAACACAAGCAATCGTCTTCAGGTGAGAGAGAGAGAAATCTGATGAGACACGGTCTTATATAGGCCTGAGATGGGTGCATCAAGGTCGGTGGGTGGAGCTAGAGATGGTCCAACCACAGACGCTGGGGCAGTGGTTACCCAGCCTGTCAATACAAAGACATCCAACCTAGTAATGCAACTCAGAGTCAGTTAACATCGATAGAAAGGATGGAAACATCATAGCAAGTTAATATTTTACCTGGTTAATCACGTCCTTCCAATGGTTGCTCAATTTGTACCTATCTTCTCGGTTGAAGTTGTGTCTGTGTTTATATATCTGGATGGCTTCATGAACAAATCTGTGATGATAGCCAGTGGGTTTGCAAAGTACCTTCGTCTTGGATAAATCAATATCGTGTGAGCCCACAGCGTGTACTTAATTCAGCTCATTTGGTTTCTCTAATTAAAGACATCTTACTATCTCCAGGCGATTTGCTTGTTAGTTTCGATGTGGTCTCTCTTTTCACCAAAGTTCCTGTGCCTGACACCATTGCAATCATTCAAGATTTGGTACAACAAGGACTGAATGCTGATGAACCAACCTTAGTGAACCTATCTACGTAGCTTTACCGACAGACCCAAGAATATGCAGTCCTTACCTATTAACAAATGATAGCTCAACGAAGTGGCGTATCATCATGTGGACACTTATAGCAGCCAAATACCGGCAGAACATCTGGGCAGTTCACCGGTTCAAGAGAGGCTGGCTCTGCTGGTGAGAAGTTGAATGTCGAACCCGGTGCAGAGTTGTGCCGCTGATGAGAGGCACTCCCAGCAGGAAGGCTGTGGAGCGGGTGATGGGATGGGTAAAGCATCGCCTGTATGTGTGAAAACGCGTGCGTGTGATGCAGGCGTTGTCTGCTATTGTCAAATAATAATCTATCCAGGGGAGCCACTCCGTGTGACCCTGTTTTAGGAGGGTCCTGCCGCCGCTACAATAGGGTTTTTATTTGTAAGATGTGCTCAGCTAATTCACGTGGGGTGGAAACCCACGCCAAGCGCAGCAGCGATCCATCTCCATACAGATGGAAACAGATGGCGATGAGACCACGGTCTGTACTGCCGTCTCTTGGCGAGCCACGGCAAGGCAGGTTGCGCAACATCTGCGTGTGGTCCACCGACTCCTCGCTTGCATTACACAGGCGTGCATAGCCACCACCCCGCTCGGGATCCATCTCCATGACTCACGAAGAAGGCCCCCGGCCCGAAACGTCACAGTTCCCTCCCTCGCCAAGATGGCGGCGGAGGAGTCGCGCTGGTGACGTCACGGGGTGGGCGACCCGCGAGGGGCGGGACAGAGTCACCTCCCGACCCCCCGGGTCGATTAATGGCATCGATCAAGACCCGTGAGCTCGGTTCAGGAATCGCGCCGCTATCGCAATGCGACTGGAACGTTTCCCCCCCCCCACGCCCAGCGGTGATTAATAATCGATTCGTGCATCGCTGCGAGCTTGACTCCGCTAGGATCGATTCCCGCGGAGTCGGTGCGCGGCGGCTTCCGATCCAATCACATCGACACTTTTAACTCGATTACGATTCCATCCGGGGTTTGGACCCCCCCCCCCCGCTCTGTGTTGCCGCAGGCGCTGTGGGCGCTGTGGGCGCAGTGGGCGCAGTGGGCGGGAAGGCGCAGCGGGGAGCGGCGTTCCCACACTGACGATTACGCGACACACGGAATCGGATCGCATAAAGCGGATCCGGATCCCTGCGAGAAGGAACCGCGGACCGTGTTCTCTGGATCGTGGAGAAAAAGAAGTGATGGTGGTCAAGTCGGTGGTGGTGATGATGTAAGTGGTGGTGATGTAGGTGGTGGTGATGATGTAAGTGGCGGTGTAGGTGGTGGTGATGTAGGTGGTGGTGATGATGTAGGTGGTAATGTAGGTGGTTGTAGTGATGTAGGTGGTGGTGGTGGTGATGTATGTGGTGGTGGTGGTAGTGATGTATGTGGTGGTGGTGGTGATGTAGGTGGTGGTGGTAATGTAGGTGGTGATGTAGGTGGTGGTGGTGATGTAGGTGGTGGTGGTGATGTAGGTGGTGGTGGTGATGTAAGTGGTGATGGTGATGTAGGTGGTGGTGGTGATGTAGGTGATGGTGATGTAAGTGGTGGTGTATGTGGTGGTAATGTAGGTGGTGATGTAGGTGGTGGTGATGTAGGTGGTGATGTAGGTGGTGGTAGTGATGTATGTGGTGGTGGTGATATAGGTGGTGGTGGTGATGTAGGTGGTGGTGGAGATGTAAGTGGTGGTGATGTAGGTGGTGGTGGTGATGTAGGTGGTGGTGGTGATGTAGGTGGTGGTGGTGATGTAGGTGGTGGTGATATAAGTGGTGGTGGTGATCGTGATGTAGGTGGTGGTGATCGTGATGTATGTGGTGGTGATGTAGGTGGTGATGTAGGTGGTGGTGGTGATGTAGGTGGTGGTGGAGATGTAAGTGGTGGTGGAGATGTAAGTGGTGGTGATGTAGGTGGTGGTGATGTAGGTGGTGGTGGTGGTGGTGATGTAGGTGGTGGTGATGTAGGTGGTGGTGGTGATGTCAGTGGTGGTGATGTATGTGGTGGTGGTGATGTAGGTGGTGGTGGTGGTGGTGATGTAGGTGGTGGTGGTAATGTAGGTGGTGATGTAGGTGGTGGTGGTGATGTAGGTGGTGGTGGTGATGTAGGTGGTGGTGGTGATGTAGGTGGTGGTGGTGATGTAAGTGGTGATGGTGATGTAGGTGGTGGTGGTGATGTAGGTGATGGTGATGTAAGTGGTGGTGTATGTGGTGGTAATGTAGGTGGTGATGTCGTGGTGATGTAGGTGGTGATGTAGGTGGTGGTAGTGATGTATGTGGTGGTGGTGATGTAGGTGGTGGTGGTGATGTAGGTGGTGGTGGTGATGTAGGTGGTGGTGGAGATGTAAGTGGTGGTGATGTAGGTGGTGGTGGTGATGTAGGTGGTGGTGGTGATGTAGGTGGTGGTGATATAAGTGGTGGTGGTGATCGTGATGTAGGTGGTGGTGATCGTGATGTAGGTGGTGGTGATGTAAGTGGTGATGGTGATGTAGGTGGTGGTGGTGGTGATGTAGGTGATGGTGATGTAAGTGGTGGTGTATGTGGTGGTGATGTAGGTGGTGGTGGTGTAGGTGGTGATGTAGGGGGTGGTAGTGATGTAGGTGGTGGTAGTGATGTATGTGGTGGTGGTGGTGATGTAGGTGGTGGTGGTGATGTAGGTGGTGGTGGAGATGTAAGTGGTGGTGGAGATGTAAGTGGTGGTGATGTAGGTGGTGGTGATGTAGGTGGTGGTGGTGGTGATGTAGGTGGTGGTGATGTAGGTGGTGGTGATGTAGGTGGTGGTGGTGATGTCAGTGGTGGTGATGTAGGTGGTGGTGGTGATGTAGGTGGTGGTGGTGGTGATGTAGGTGGTGATGTATGTGGTGGTGGTGATGTAGGTGGTGGTGGTGATGTATGTGGTGGTGGTGATGTAGGTGGTGGTGGTGATGTAGGTGGTGGTGGTGATGTAGGTGGTGGTGGTGATGTAGGTGGTGGTGATGTAGGTGGTGGTGATGTAAGTGGTGGTGATGTAAGTGGTGGTGGTGATGTAGGTGGTGGTGGTGATGTAGGTGGTGATGTAGGTGGTGGTGGTGATGTAGGTGGTGGTGGTGATGTAGGTGGTGGTGGTGATGTAGGTGGTGGTGATGATGTAGGTGGTGGTGATGTAAGTGGTGGTGATGTAAGTGGTGGTGATGTAGGTGGTGGTGATGTAGGTGGTGGTGATGTAAGTGGTGGTGATGTAGGTGGTGGTGATGTAGGTGTTGATGTAGGTGGTGATGTAGGTGGTGGTGGTAGTGATGTATGTGGTGGTGGTGGTGATGTAGGTGGTGGTGGTGATGTAGGTAGTGGTGATGTAGGTGGTGGTGATGTAGGTGGTGGTGGTGATGTAGGTGGTGATGTAAATGGTGGTGATGTAGGTGGTGGTGGTGATGTAGGTGGTGGTGATGTAGGTGTTGATGTAGGTGGGGATGTAGGTGGTGGTGGTAGTGATGTATGTGGTGGTGGTGGTGATGTATGTGGTGGTGGTGGTGGTGATGTAGGTGGTGGTGGTGATGTAGGTGGTGGTGGTGATGTAAGTGGTGGTGATGTTGGTGGTGGTGGTGATGTAGGTGGTGGTGATATAAGTGGTGGTGGTGATCGTGATGTAGGTGGTGGTGATCGTGATGTAGGTGGTGGTGATGATGTAGGTGGTGGTGATGTAGGTGATGGTGATGTAAGTGGTGGTGTATGTGGTGGTGATGTAGGTGGTGGTAATGTAGGTGGTGATGTAGGTGGTGGTGATGTAGGTGGTGGTGATCGTGATGTAGGTGGTGGTGATGATGTAGGTGGTGGTGATGTAAGTGGTGATGGTGATGTAGGTGATGGTGATGTAAGTGGTGGTGTATGTGGTGGTGATGTAGGTGGTGGTAATGTAGGTGGTGATGTAGGTGGTGATGTAGGTGGTGGTGATGTAGGTGGTGGTGGTGATGTAAGTGGTGATGGTGATGTAGGTGGTGGTGGTGATGTAGGTGATGGTGATGTAAGTGGTGGTGTATGTGGTGGTAATGTAGGTGGTGATGTAGGTGGTGGTGATGTAGGTGGTGATGTAGGTGGTGGTAGTGATGTAGGTGGTGGTAGTGATGTATGTGGTGGTGGTGATGTAGGTGTGGTGGTGATGTAGGTGGTGGTGGTGATGTAGGTGGTGGTGGTGATGTAGGTGGTGGTGGTGATGTAGGTGGTGGTGGTGATGTAGGTGGTGGTGGTGATGTAGGTGGTGGTGATATAAGTGGTGGTGGTGATCGTTATGTAGGTGGTGGTGATGTAAGTGGTGATGGTGATGTAGGTGGTGGTGGTGGTGATGTAGGTGGTGGTGATGTAGGTGATGGTGATGTAAGTGGTGGTGTATGTGGTGGTGATGTAGGTGGTGGTAATGTAGGTGGTGATGTAGGTGGTGGTAGTGATGTAGGTGGTGGTAGTGATGTATGTGGTGGTGGTGGTGGTGATGTAGGTGGTGGTGGAGATGTAAGTGGTGGTGGAGATGTAAGTGGTGGTGATGTAGGTGGTGGTGATGTAGGTGGTGGTGATGTAGGTGGTGGTGGTGATGTCAGTGGTGGTGATGTAGGTGGTGGTGGTGATGTAGGTGGTGGTGGTGGTGATGTAGGTGGTGATGTAGGTGGTGGTGGTGATGTAGGTGGTGGTGATGTAGGTGGTGATGTAGGTGGTGGTGGTGATGTAGGTGGTGGTGGTGATGTAGGTGGTGGTGATGATGTAGGTGGTGGTGATGTAAGTGGTGGTGATGTAAGTGGTGGTGATGTAGGTGGTGGTGATGTAGGTGGTGGTGATGTAAGTGGTGGTGATGTAAGTGGTGGTGGTGATGTAGGTGGTGGTGGTGATGTAGGTGGTGATGTAGGTGGTGGTGGTGATGTAGGTGGTGGTGGTGATGTAGGTGGTGGTGATGATGTAGGTGGTGGTGATGTAAGTGGTGGTGATGTAGGTGGTGGTGATGTAGGTGGTGGTGATGTAAGTGGTGGTGATGTAGGTGGTGGTGATGTAAGTGGTGGTGGTGATGTAGGTGGTGGTGGTGATGTAGGTGGTGGTGATGTAGGTGGTGGTGATGTAAGTGGTGGTGATGTAAGTGATGGTGGTGATGTAGGTGGTGGTGGTGATGTAGGTGGTGGTGATGTAAGTGGTGGTGATGTAAGTGGTGGTGATGTAGGTGGTGGTGATGTAAGTGGTGGTGATGTAGGTGGTGGTGATGTAGGTGGTGGTGGTAGTGATGTATGTGGTGGTGGTGGTGATGTAGGTGGTGGTGGTGATGTAGGTAGTGGTGATGTAGGTGGTGGTGATGTAGGTGGTGGTGGTGATGTAGGTGGTGATGTAAATGGTGGTGATGTAGGTGGTGGTGGTGATGTAGGTGGTGGTGATGTAGGTGTTGATGTAGGTGGTGATGTAGGTGGTGGTGGTAGTGATGTATGTGGTGGTGGTGGTGATGTATGTGGTGGTGGTGGTGGTGATGTAGGTGGTGGTGGTGATGTAAGTGGTGGTGATGTTGGTGGTGGTGGTGATGTAGGTGGTGGTGATATAAGTGGTGGTGGTGATCGTGATGTAGGTGGTGGTGATCGTGATGTAGGTGGTGGTGATGATGTAGGTGGTGGTGATGTAGGTGATGGTGATGTAAGTGGTGGTGTATGTGGTGGTGATGTAGGTGGTGGTAATGTAGGTGGTGATGTAGGTGGTGGTGATGTAGGTGGTGGTGATCGTGATGTAGGTGGTGGTGATGATGTAGGTGGTGGTGATGTAAGTGGTGGTGTATGTGGTGGTGATGTAGGTGGTGGTAATGTAGGTGGTGATGTAGGTGGTGGTGATGTAGGTGGTGGTGGTGATGTAGGTGGTGGTGGTGATGTAGGTGGTGGTGGTGATGTAAGTGGTGATGGTGATGTAGGTGGTGGTGGTGATGTAGGTGATGGTGATGTAAGTGGTGGTGTATGTGGTGGTGTATGTGGTGGTAATGTAGGTGGTGATGTAGGTGGTGATGTAGGTGGTGATGTAGGTGGTGATGTAGGTGGTGGTAGTGATGTAGGTGGTGGTGATGTAGGTGGTGGTGATGTAGGTGGTGGTGGTGATGTCAGTGGTGGTGATGTAGGTGGTGGTGGTGATGTAGGTGGTGGTGGTGGTGATGTAGGTGGTGATGTAGGTGGTGGTGGTGATGTAGGTGGTGGTGATGTAGGTGGTGGTGATGTAAGTGGTGGTGATGTAGGTGGTGGTGATGTAGGTGTTGATGTAGGTGGTGATGTAGGTGGTGGTGGTAGTGATGTATGTGGTGGTGGTGGTGATGTAGGTGGTGGTGGTGATGTAGGTGGTGGTGATGTAGGTGGTGGTGATGTAGGTGGTGGTGGTGATGTAGGTGGTGATGTAAATGGTGGTGATGTAGGTGGTGGTGGTGATGTAGGTGGTGGTGATGTAGGTGTTGATGTAGGTGTGATGTAGGTGGTGGTGGTAGTGATGTATGTGGTGGTGGTGGTGATGTATGTGGTGGTGTTGGTGATGTAGGTGGTGGTGGTGATGTAGGTGGTGGTGGTGATGTAAGTGGTGGTGATGTTGGTGGTGGTGGTGATGTAGGTGGTGGTGATATAAGTGGTGGTGGTGATCGTGATGTAGGTGGTGGTGATCGTGATGTAGGTGGTGGTGATGATGTAGGTGATGGTGATGTAAGTGGTGGTGTATGTGGTGGTGATGTAGGTGGTGGTAATGTAGGTGGTGATGTAGGTGGTGGTGATGTAGGTGGTGGTGATCGTGATGTAGGTGGTGGTGATGATGTAGGTGGTGGTGATGTAAGTGGTGGTGTATGTGGTGGTGATGTAGGTGGTGGTAATGTAGGTGGTGGTGATGTAGGTGGTGGTGGTGATGTAGGTGGTGGTGGTGATGTAGGTGGTGGTGGTGATGTAGGTGGTGGTGGTGATGTAAGTGGTGATGGTGATGTAGGTGGTGGTGGTGATGTAGGTGATGGTGATGTAAGTGGTGGTGTATGTGGTGGTAATGTAGGTGGTGATGTAGGTGGTGGTGATGTAGGTGGTGATGTAGGTGGTGGTGATGTAGGTGGTGGTGATGTAGGTGGTGGTGGTGATGTCAGTGGTGGTGATGTAGGTGGTGGTGGTGATGTAGGTGGTGGTGGTGGTGGTGATGTAGGTGGTGATGTAGGTGGTGGTGGTGATGTAGGTGGTGGTGATGTAGGTGGTGATGTAGGTGGTGGTGGTGATGTAGGTGGTGGTGATGTAAGTGGTGGTGATGTAGGTGGTGGTGATGTAGGTGGTGGTGATGTAAGTGGTGGTGATGTAGGTGGTGATGATGTAGGTGGTGGTGATGTAGGTGGTGGTGATGTAAGTGGTGGTGATGTAAGTGGTGGTGATGTAGGTGGTGGTGATGTAAGTGGTGGTGATGTAAGTGGTGGTGGTGATGTAGGTGGTGGTGGTGATGTAGGTGGTGATGTAGGTGGTGGTGGTGATGTAGGTGGTGGTGGTGATGTAGGTGGTGGTGATGATGTAGGTGGTGGTGATGTAAGTGGTGGTGATGTAAGTGGTGGTGATGTAGGTGGTGGTGATGTAAGTGGTGGTGATGTAGGTGGTGGTGATGTAAGTGGTGGTGGTGATGTAGGTGGTGGTGGTGATGTAGGTGGTGGTGATGTAGGTGGTGGTGATGTAAGTGGTGGTGATGTAAGAGGTGGTGGTGATGTAGGTGGTGGTGATGTATGTGGTGGTGATGTAAGTGGTGGTGATGTAGGTGGTGATGATGATGTAGGTGGTGGTGATGTAGGTGGTGGTGATGTAAGTGGTGGTGATGTAGGTGGTGGTGATGTAAGTGGTGGTGGTGATGGTGGTGGTGAAGTAGGTGGTGGTGGTGAAGTAGGTGGTGGTGGTGATGTAGGTGGTGGTGATGTAAGTGGTGGTGATGTAGGTGGTGATGATGTAGGTGGTGGTGATGTAGGTGGTGGTGATGTAGGTGGTGGTGATGTAAGTGGTGGTGGTGATGTAAGTGGTGGTGGTGATGTAGGTGGTGGTGATGTAGGTGGTGATGTAGGTGGTGGTGAGATTGAGGTAGGTGATGGTGATGTAGATGCTGGTGATGCTGTAGGTGGTGATGGTGGTAATGGAGTGATGTGGTACAAGAGGATGTGAAGCCGAGTGGACTTGCCGAAGACTGGTACCAGCGGTGTCAAGATCGGCCTCTGTGGAGGAGGCTCGTGAAGGACGCTACTGGGCAGTTGGAGGCAGTCGCCCTCCAACAACAACGGAGGGTGGAGGAGCGACGCTCACAATGAGCGGAGCGCCGGGTGGCTCGAATTTGGTTGGCACAGTAGTGGGTACAGCTGGTGCATCGGCCACTCATCTGTCAGTCAACCCATGGCACCTGCTGAATCTGTCCCGTGACCTCCTGTTGGCAACCTTCGACACTTCACCTGGCCTCAAAGTGCATGTAGCCTGGCACGGGCGCCGTAGTGACGTCACCGTATTGGTGATGAGGCGATGATTCACGTCATGGTGACGATGGTGGTGATGTAAATGAGGGTGATGTAAGTGATGGTGGTGATGATGTAGATGATGGTGGTGATAAAGTGATGATGATGATGATGATAAGATGATGGTGGTGATATAGTTGGTGATGGTGTTGATTTTGCTGTTAATATAAGTGATGTGGTTGGTGATGTCGGATTTTGCTGTTAATGTAAGTGATGTGGTTGGTGATGTCGGTGGAGGTGATGTATGTGCTGATGATGTTGGTATCATTGCTGATGTTGCAGGTATATTAGTGTTGTGATGTTGCTAGTGATGTTAATTTCTGTGATGTGCGTGGTGATGTAGGTGATGCCGGAGGTGATGACATCAGCGCACAACTGCAGACTCCAGATCCCACATAGCGTCTCCTGCGGATAGAGTGTCTGGTTCAGAACAATTCACCCGATCTACACAGATCATCTGTTCTGGACAGAACATCCCTTCTGGACCGAATGATCGGTCCGGATAAAATGTACGATCCAGCTGGCTCACCGGTTCGCTCACCGGTCCGCTCACCACCAAACTCACCGATCAGCTCACCAGCCTGCCACACGGCTGGCTCACCCGTCCACTCGGCTGGCTCACCCGTCCACTCGGCTGGCTCACCTGTCCACTCGGCTCGCATCGTAGTAAGCTCCCCAGCCAAACCACCAGCAGTCCACTCGCCAGTCGGCCTGCCGGTGAGCTCGCCGGCTCGCGAAAGTGATGAGGAGGCGGCGGTGGCGCCGTGGCCGGACGAGGAGCGGCGCCGAGTGCTGTTTGCGGCGTTCAAGGCGGCGCGCGCCGTGAACCCGGCCGACTGGGACGGGCGGCTGAGATTCTGGCGCGAGCGCATGGTGGGCGAGGCGCGGGCGAGCGGCGACGCGGCGCTGTCGCTGGCACGGCTGCAGCACCGCTACGCCGACCCGCGGCCGCCCCTCGGCCTCGCCACCGTGCTGCGCGAGATGATGCGGTGAGCGGCCGGAAAGCGGCGGCGGCGACGGCGGCGAGATGTGGTGGTGGTGGGGATGGTGATGGTGGTGACAGGTGGTGGTGGGGATAGTGATGATGGTGGAGGTTTTGAAGGTGGTGGTGTAGGTATACACCCTATGTGTGTTGTGTGTGAGCTGTACACACTATACGTGTTGTGTGTGTATGTGCGCTGTACACACTCTGCGTGTTGTGTGTAGTGTATATGTGGTGTAATCATGCAGTCTGTTCCCAAGGACAATGACCTCTCTTGCATTTGGAGCCGGTAATCGTTCGGCACCTTACACGTTCCTTATCATTGGTTCCTGTGAGTTCGCGTGTAATCACAAGGTCGTTAGGTTTGGTTCCTGTGAGTTTGCGTGTGGCTTAGCAGGACTGGCATTTGAACAACACAGAGATCACATCACGGCCAGTGGGCTGCTATACATTTCCACGTGATATTCCATTTCTTTTGGGCAATCATTTGCAGGCAGGTCGCTTCTGAAAAAGAGCTACGTAGCTCAGTGGGCCTTACCTGGTAAAATAAAAGTTTAGTTCACTCTGCGTTATGTGGGCTGTATAACTACTATTTGTGGTGTGTGTGGTGTACACACTATGTGGCGTGTGCGGTGTGCAGGGAGGGGGCACTGGTACGTGAGTCGGAGATGGGGGGGGGCACGGGGCATGGCTGGTTGTGGGGGGCTGGGCGCCTGGCCCTCACTCCGCTGAGGTGGGCGCGCGACTCGTTGCTCGGCGGTCGCGGTGACGTGATCGCTCCCGACGAGTGCCTCATTCTGCCCAGCGTCGTCGAGGTAACTGTCGTGATAACATCGGTGCATTTGCAGTGTGATGTCATGCATCACGATGTGTGTTACCAGGTGTGGTGTTGAGTCTGGTTGTTCTGGTTGTGAGTGTGGTGGTATTATGACGAGTGTGTTTGAGCGCAGTTTAGTGGTTGTGAGTGGTTGTGTTATGACGAGCGTGGTTGTGAGTTTGGTTGCGAGGGTGGTTGTGTTATCACGAGGGTGGCTGTGCGCGTGGTTGCAGGAGGCGGCGAGTGCGGTGCTGGCTTGGCGGGCTGGCCGGCCCCACGCTGCTGCGGTCGCTGTGAGGTTGAGCGCCGTGGTTGAGGCGGCCGTCTGGCCAAATGAGGCGACGCTGTGCATGGCTCTCCGAGTCCTGCAGCAACGGCAGCAGCTCACCACACTCACCATTGACGGCGTGGAGGTCAGGAACTCCTCACCACACAGCTCCCCACGCAGCTCCCCACACAGCTCACAGACAGCTCACCATAGTAACCACGCACTTTGTACATTCACTACTTATTACACTCGCCACTCAATCAGCACGGTCACCATCTACCATATAGAGGCGAGCAAAGCCTCATCACTTCACCTGGAGAGTTACAGGTGTGGTGGCTGTTGTGGCGGTCGTGATTGATGTGGTTGTGATTGTTGTGCTCGTTTAAGCGTGTGCGTTCGTGATGGTTGCAGTTGTTGTGGTTGTTGTGGCTGTGGTATAGGTAGTGAAGTTTGCGGCGCCAGGCGCGGTGCACGCACCACCGCTGTCTCCTGTGGACGTCGGCGTCATGAAGCTGGAGATGGCGCAGGGGCTGCTGGGAGCGCGGGCTCACGCTCAGAGACAGAGAGCGCACACGTGAGTACAACAACAACAACAACCGCCATTCGCCACTAGGTGGCGGTGACGTCACCATGACGCTTGTGCCAGGCTATGTGCACGTTGAGGTAGGAGGTCACGGGGCAGACCCAGGTGCCACGGGTCGACTGACTGAGATGACTGGCTAATCCACCACCTGTGCCCCCTACTGTTCAACTTGCTGTGCTTTAGCCACCCGGCGCTCTGCTTGTTGGTGTCAGCATCGCTCCTCCCCCCTCCGTTGTTGTTGGAGGACGACTGCCTCAAACTACCCAGCAGCGTCCTTCACAAGCCTCCTCCACAGAGGCCGATCTTGACACCGCAGATACCAGCTCCAAATCCTCCTGTACCACATCACTCTCTCGCCCGTGCCGCACCCGTTTAGCCCCCTCTATCCGGCCGAACAAAAGCTGTTTAGGCTTGCTACATGACCCAGCCAATGCAGCCTTGCCTGCCGGAGGAGCTCACCGACGGGACTTTGTCCAGATCTTTCACGGATTTGTGATGTCCTCACACAATCCAGCTTGGTTAAACCCAGGATGGATCGTAGGCAGGCCAGCCTAAATGTTTCTAACCGGCGAAGATGTTCCATTAGGGGGGTCCATGTTTCGCAAGCGTAGAGAAGGGTGGGAATGAACTCCTCCTCTGAGTGAGCGGCAATTACCAGATCATGGGCATACATAATGTGGTTGACCAATAGGGAGCCATCCCTTGACCGCACCCAGGCATCGAGCAGCCTCCCATTGTAATTACTTCGGTACAGCCATCAAAGGCTTCACGAACTACGTGGTCGAAAAATATTTTAAATTATTTGTGAGCCAGAGGACATCCCTGTCGCACCCCAAGGTGAACAGGGAATGGCTCCGACTCCCGGCCACGTAGTTTTATCCGGGCCCGCTCACCATCATGAAGGTCCTTAATGATTGTGAGCAGAGGGTCAGGGACAGAAAGCACGAAGAATAACCCAGAGCCCAGGCTTACTGATGGTATCATAGGCCTTGACCAGGTCAATAAAGCAAAGATGTAGGTCTTGTTGGAATTACTTACACCTCTTCTGTAGCAGACGGACAGAAAATATGGCATCTGTGCAGGACCGCCCTTTCCTGAAACCACGTTGGGGCTCCGCAAGCCTTTCCTCAGCGTGCCTGGCAAGGCGATGTTGAATAATCCTTGCCAGGATCTTTCCCGGCACACTGAGGAGTGAGATGCCCCTGTAGTTGTAAGTCTGTGCGGTTCTCCTTCTTAAAGAGGGGACCACCAGGGCATCCTTCCAATCCTGCGGAACCCGTCCAGTGGTCCAGACTGTTGTTATGATGTCTTGTAGGGCAGTCTGTGCACAAACGCCACCTTCTCTCAGCATTTCGCTTGGCAGATCATCTCTGCCCAGTGCCTTTCCTCGTCTCAGACTCTGGATCGCCTTTAGTATTTCCTGAACAGATGGCACCTCAGCCAGCCACTCACAGGGGTTGACTTCTTCCATATTTGAGACACCGCAGCCTCAGCAGGGTTAGCCCCACTTTGTCTCATGATGTTTTCCATGCCGAGGGATTTCTCCTCCCCCAGGACTTCACAGAAATGCTCAGCAAATCTGGGGGTCGGAGATTGGATAATCGTTTTTTCCCCTAATGATGGTAATAGGTGTGGTGCTGCAGGTTACTTTTTTGCTGGAGTTAAATAGTGATTTGTGATCGCGGGCCATTGAGGCAGACTCCATCTCTTATGCAACACGTGACCACCACCCATCCTTGCAGCACCTCAAAGCTCTTCGAACCTCCGAGCGAAGGTTGCAGTAAGCCTCCTCATTCTGACGTGGGATGCTGTAGACGATGAGAGTGGGCCTGTCGCTTTTTCTCAGCCAGCCTGAACACCTCCTCTGTCAGCCAGGGTCTCTGGGGAGTTCTGGACCGTGTACTCAAAGCAGCCATTGCAGCTGCATGAGCCACAGTCCTAAACCTTGCCCATTTCCCCGATGATTAAATTCTCGCTTGCAACTTTCATCAGCTAGCTGAGACCAGGCGACCTTGGGTTTGAATGGGGTCCTGGGTTTACACCCACCACCGGAGTGGAAGAATGGCAGGCGCATCTTACAGATGACAAGTCGATGGTCAGTGAGCAGATCAGCTCCACGGTAGGTCCTGGTGTCAAGGACATGGGCCCGCATCCGCTGTTCCGTCACTGCGTAGTCCAGCAGATGTTCTTGTTTAGACCCGGCATGCATCCATGATGTTGTGTGGATGCGCCGATGCCGGAACAGCGTGTTGGTAATTACAAGCCCATAGGCTGCACAAAAATCTAGCAGCCTCCTACTGTTGTTATTGAGGTGATCTGGCCCATGCCTTCCAATCACTCCAGACCAGATGCCAGCATCATGACCAACTCGGGCATTGAAGTCGCCCAACAGGATGACTCTATCCCGAGGGGCCACTTTAGCTAGCACCTGTGACAGGAGGTCATAGAAGCCATCTGACTCATCGGCCTTGCCTGCATCCCTCCACGGATGTTCGTCTTCAGTGGGGGCATAAGTAACCACTACCACCACTCCTCGCCTCCGGTTGATGGGAAGGCGAGCCCAAAGTAGTTTGGGGCTTACCGCTTCCGACACCTCACCACCACGCTCCCACACCGCCACGCCCCCTTCGTTCTTTTGTTCAGAAGCAGAGCCACTCCCTGTTTTTTTGTAGTCTCCTGCCCCGAGTAGAGGACTGTCCACCCCTCATGGTGACAGGAGCCAGAGCTGGTCCACCGGACCTCCTGAATACCACAGAGATCCAGGCGGTACCGGTCCAGCTCCCGACAGAGGAGTTGCAGCCTCTCGTTCGAACATTCCACGTGGCCACCCTCAGTCGTTTTTAGTTGTTTCTGGAGGAGCCCCGAGGGTAAATATTCAATCTCCTGGCTCCGCCATGTGGGGTTTGGCCAGGAGACGTCATAGATGCCTGTGGAGGGGTTACCAGTCCCCCGCACCTGTCCAGAGCTCCCATTTGGCCGCTATGGTGGTTACAAACGCCATGAAGGGAATGGTCAATCTAAATTGGCCCTCTCCCTATGGCACTGTCCACCAAAGCGTTTCCGTCCGGCACCACGAGGAGGTAGGGGGTTGTTTTTGCCGAGTACACACACGTGTACAAGTACAAAGACAAAGATCACAGCACATGTCGGGGTGGGCAGCCAACATCACGCCTGACCTCCTTTGTCTCCCTAGTGGCAATGTTTACAAATCGCACCAGGTACTCATTTGAGGCTGAGTCGACCTAGGGGAAGCCCAGGACTGGTTCAGATAATCATCACTGTTGTTAGCCATGAGGATGAATCGAACCTAGGTCGGCAGGTTCGTAGCGAAGCACGCAAACCGCTACACTATCGCTGCCCACACACACGTGTGTACATACACAAATGTGCTTGCACACGTGTGTATGCTCGTGCACACGTGTGTATGCTCGTACACACGTGCGTACACACGTGCATACATGCACACACACGTACACACACGTACACACAACAAAAACAAGCGCCATTCATCACTAAGTGGCGGTGAAGTCGCTACGATGCTTGTTCGAGGCTATGTGCACTTTAAGGCCCCATGAAGTGTCGAACGCCCGCTGGCAGAAGGTCACGGGACAGACCCAGGTGCCATGGGTTGATTGACTGAGATGACTAGCCAATGCACCACCTGTGCTCCCTACTATTCCAACTTGCTGTGTTTTATCTGCCCAGCATTCTGCTCATTGTCATGAGCGATGCTCCTCTGCCCTCCGTTGTTGCTGAAAGGCGACTGCCTCCAACTGCCTTGTAGCGTCCTTCACCTTGCCTGACTTGTGCAGCTCACTGACGGGACTGTCGAAATCTTTCAAGGATTTGTAGATCCTTAGACAATCTAGTCTGGTTAAACCCAGGATGGATTGTACACAAGCCAGCCTGAATGTTTCAAACCAGTGTAGATGTCCCTTTTAAAGGGGTACATTTTTTGCAAGCATAGCGAAGGGAGGGTATAGCTGTGGCCGAAAATACTCGGAGCTTCGTATGGTGTGACAGTATTACACAGCTGATGAAAAGATAAGGCTGATCGTCTGATTTGGAGACCTGCAGCCAAACCAGAACTAGGTAAGAAAACTTCACTCTTTCCACAACTGCCCCATCACGCATGGGGAGTTGAGAAGATGGAGAATATGATGACATAAAATACCCAGGCTGGTGCTTAGTTTTGTTTAGCACGCTTCAAGTTCAGCAGTAGTCTACAACTCCTCTGATTGAGCAGCAATTACCAGATCATTGGCATACATAACATGGTTGCCCAATAGTGAGCTATCTCCTGACCACACCTGGGCATCGATCATTGCATCTGCTGTACCAGATAGAAATGCCTCTGGTACATCCATAGAAGGCTTCATGAACTACGTGGTCGAAAAATACGTTAAATAGTGTAGGAGCCATAGGACATCCTTGTCGCACCCCAAGGTGAACAGGGAATGGCTCGACTCCCAGGCACGCGCACACACACACACCACACACACTGTATGTGCACACATACACACGGAGCAAAGGTTATCGTGGTTTAGTAATTGTTTTGGTGGTTGTTGTGGTTGTTGTGGTGGCTGTGGTTGAGTCGCTGTTTCTCCACAGGCTGAAGGAGGATGCTAGGACCCACGTGCGGGAGGGAAGCAAGCGCCAGGTACATTCACTCACTGTCATTCGCTCCGTCATTTATTCACTTTCATTCATTCAGCATCCTTTAAAAAAATACAAAGAAAAATCCTATGTAACCTTGTGCCGGAGGCTCCAGGAAGAACGGCACCTCAGACATCTAGCTGAACCCCATTTGACGGAGCCAGAAATGATAGGAAATGATTGGCCGTGTGGAATGTTCGAAGGCTAACTTTGAAGGAGAGGAGAGGCTGCAATTCGTTTGTACCTGAGCAGTGTGCTGGTGACATACTCCGGTTTGGCAGTGGAGGTCTCATTCTGAATAATTTGAGCGGCATAATTTTTTCAACAGCTGTATGACAGTGTGTGGAAGCTACTTGGTCTATCACACCATACGGAGCTCCAGGAGTTTCTCGGCCACAGTTATGACCTCCCTTCTCTATACTTGGAGCCCTTTTAAAGGAACATTTGCACTGGTTTGAAAATTGCTAGCCTGACTACGATCTATCCTGGGTTTAACCAAGCTGGATTGTGTGAAGAGCTCACAAATCCTTGAAAGATCTGGACAAAGTCCCATCGGTGATCTCCTCTGGCAGGCAAGGCTACATTGGCTGGGTCATGTAGCCCACATGCCCAGCCACCGCATGCCTAAACAGCTTTTGTTTGGCCGGATAGAGGGGGTTAAACGGGCGCAGGACGGGCTTGATAAGAGATGGAATGATGTGGTACAGGAGGACGTGGAGCTTTGTAGACATGCCAATGACTGGTACCATTGGTGTCAAGATTGGCCTCTGTGGAGGAGGCTCGTGAAGAACGCTACTGGGCAGTTGGAGGCAGTCGCCCTCCAGCAACAACGGAGGGCAGAGGAGCGACGCTCACAACAACGAGCGGAGCGCGGGGTGGCTAAAGCACAGCAAGTTGGCACGGTAGTGGGCACAGGTGGTGCATCGACCAGTCACCTCAGTCAGTCGACCCGCGGCACCTGGGTTTGCCCCGTGACCTCTTGCCAGCGGGCGTTCCACACTTCATGTGGCCTCAACGTGCACATAGTCTGGCACAATCGCCTTAGGTGACGTCACCGCCACTTAGTGGTGAATGGTGGTTGTTGTTGTTGTCGTGTAGTACCTGGTGCGGCGTGTAAACATCGCCACTCGCGTGACTAAGGCGGCCGAGCGTGGTGCTGGCTACCCAGCCCCTTGCGTGCCGTGCCGGCGTTCATAGGATCTTTGTCTGTGTGTAGGCACTGCGTTGCCTCCGTGCGTGTAAGCGCGTGCAGCAGCAGCTCGATCGCCTGGAGCAGCAGCAGGAGTCGCTGGAGCATCTCCTGGAGAGCGTGCACGCGGCACACACCGACGCCATGGTACATGGTACACTATACATGCACCTAGCCTGGCACAAGCACTTGGGCAAATACGGTTGATGTTAAATGTACAACGACGACAACCGCCATCTGCCACTAAGTGGCGGTGACATCACCACGGCGCTTGTGCAAGGCTATGTGCACGTTAAGACCGCGTGAAGTGTCGAACACCTGCTGACAGGAGGTCACGGGACAGACCCAGGTGCCATGAGTCAACTGACTGAGATGTTGAATGTACACCACACATACACCACACACGCACTTGCAACACACACAACACAAAGATCCCCCTTATAGCCTTAACAAACTGTTGGGGCAAGTGCTGTTAGTAAGCACTTATGAAGGCCGGGACAGCACATGAGGGGGTGGGTGGCCAGCACCACGCCCGCCCGCCTTTGTCTCTTTAACAGAAAGGAGGTCCAGGACCGGTTCAGATAATCGTCACTGGCTATGGCCATGAGCGGGAATCGAACTCGGGTCACCGGGTTCATAGTGCAGCGTGCTAACTGCTATACTACTGTTCTCCACACACACCACACACACGTGTAATGACCGAGGCAACAGACCACTTACCAGACCCAAGCGTATGCGCGAACAGAGAGTCAGGAAATAAACCAAGGCCTCCGATTGGTGCAGGGCGGTCTCAAAAATGATTGGTCAGGAGACGAGATTCAAAGAGATTAGAGGGGAGATTCAAATGTAAAAGGCGGGAAGCGAAGGTTGACTGTAGAGGCGACAGTTGACAACCGTTGGAGGAAGATGAGGGGCGTAGGGTGAGCAAAGTTTCCAGAGAGGGGGTTTAGGAATTATAAAAGTGGGGGACGGCGTAAGGGGAGGAGACGTTCGGAGAGAGGACGAAATTTAAGCATCACGAACGAGCCCGGGCCTAGAGATAGGGTTGTGTCCAAATAAAGGCTCCTAGTAAGGCACAATGTGTGTCGGGGTCTTTACACATGCAACAAAACACACATGCAACACTAACACACGCCATACACCGTATACACACCACCACAACAACTTGTATATTCATGCAAGTCCGTGTCTCCATTTTCCCCCATGTGTCCCCATGTCTCACCGTATGGACCCGTATCTTTGTACGTCCCCATGTATCTCCGTGCCTCCCCATGTCCGCGTGTCTCCCTGCGTCTCCCTGTGTGTCGTGCATTCCTGTGTATCTCAATATCTCCCCGTTTCCGTGCATATCTCCATGTCTCCCCCTGCATCCTCGTGCGTCCGCGTGTCTGCTTCTGTTTCTCCGTGTGTCCCCGTGTCTCTAGGTGATCCAGGCTTTTCAGGCCGGCAAGGCTGCTCTGCACAAAGTGTTACAGTCGGGCCCTGACACAGATGCGGTGGACGCCCTAATGGACGAGATCCAGCAGGCAAGGACCCTCCCTCATTCACTCACCCACTCACCCACTTTGCCCACTCACTCACCCGGTTGCTCGATCACTGGCACACTCACCCACTCACCAAATCACCTGCTCACTCACTCACTTACTCACCCACAGATATAATCAGAATATTTTTTTACTAGCGGGAAGTACCCGGCGTTGCCCAGGCAAAAAAGACACACACACATTGACTTACACACAGACATCGACCCACACACATACAAACATCGACTTACACACACATGGACTCACACAAGGACTTAGACACAATAATAATTTGATTAATATTCACCAAGTAAATTTAGAAATATTAGTTGTGTGCACACACACATGATTAGCGTAATATTTGCAAGGTGATTATTTAAATAAAATGTTTCTATCAACGTGAGTTTAGCAAAAGAAGCAGGAAAAAAGTACTTAACATAGCCGTTGTGAGGCCTAGTCCCGTGCAGAGCTCCCGGCCTCGCCTAGATTGCCCAGCCGGCCGAGGTGGCACCTTGGCAGGCTGGGGCTGGGCTGCTACCCCTCACCCCCCCCAGCCATGATCCCCCCGCCCACTGTGCAGTAATATGTACGACCTAAAGTGCTAACATCTACCGACCGTATAGTAATAACTGCACGCATCAGGGTGGGGGAGGGGAGAAGAGGACATCACACTGTGGAAGAATTTACCGGAGCGTTTGGTGTATTTTTAGCATTTTTTATGCGAAAGAAAATGTCCCCCTCACCCCCACTGAACGTGTGTCACTTGGTAGGGGCCGTCCCCCCCACCGAAGGCGTGTGAGTTGGTATGGTCTAGTGCGCAGAATAAATGAATAAATAACAATAAATCGCACAAAATCACTCATTCAACTAATTCAAAGTTGAGGGCTGGGAAAAAGGAATAGCGCTTGCTCACCGCGGGGCTTACGACATGGTACCTAGCTATTTTTAAATCCTTTATATTAAGTTCGCGTGCTTGCTTGCTTAGGACCGTGCAAATCTTTCGGTCGTTTTTTAACCCACTTCCCGTGATCCAATCGAGCTGACATTTTCCACACAGACTCGTTGTGCCAGACAATTATTGTTCGTGAAAAAAAATTCCCAAAATTTTGCACTTTTTAGGCAAAAAAAAATATTTTACATATATTCAAATAGAACGCATTCATGGCTTTGGCTGAACGTCAGAGTGTAAGAGCCCAGAGCGTAACCCCTCCACAGGCCGTGGTGGAGTAGCGCAGTTGGTAGCGCCCTCGCTTCCCATGCCAAAGGTCGCGGGATCGATCCCCGCGTCCTCCACAGGCGAATATATTTTTAAATCCTTTATATTAAGTTCGCTTGCTTGCTAAGGACCGTGCAAATCTTTCGCTCGTTTTTTAACCCACTTCCCGTGATCCAATCGAGCTGACATTTTCCACACAGACTCGTTGTGTGTGACAATTAATTTTCGTGAAATTTTTTTTCCAAAATTTTACACTATTTAGGGAAAACAAATTAAATATTTAATTACCAATTGCTTAATACTGGCAGACAATCATCTGACCCATAGATTGCAGCCATCTCAAGCCAGAGGACGAGATAACTCTAGCCGCCACGCATATAAAGGATTTAGAGTGAAAACTTTGTTTTTACGGGTTTACTTGTTTATTTAAAATGTAAACCCCACCGTTTGAGAGCCAAATCCTTCGCAAGCGTGCGAACACACAGACAGACAGACAGACGAAAAATGACATTTATATATAAGACTAGCGGGAAGTACCCGGAGTTGCCCTAGCGAAAGAGACACACACATCGACTTGCACACACAGACATTGATCCACACACACATCGACTCACACACACACACATCGACTTACGCAGCAATCCCCGATGATGCCACAGCTAGAGCAATTTTCTCCCTCTGGCGAACCTTAGCGAGGAGCAGGTTGAGAACAAAGGACTTCCCAGTACGTGGAGGTTTGCATTTTCTCTCAATGTCTTCCAAGATTTTCGTGTAGGCTTCTCTTTGTGCATCCATCAGCTTTGGTTCATTTTTCTCAATACATTTAAGAAGCTCTAAACCATCATAGGATATTTCACGTAGGATCTCTTGAGCAAGGGGATGCATGTTGTCCCTGTAGGGTGTTGGTAGTCCCATAGATGTGCGAGGTCTTTTCCACCAATGGAGTGCAGTTTCTCCTCAAGGAGGGTGAGAGGGCCTGTTTGAAGATGACATCAGAAAAGTTGACGTGGAGGTTTGCATTTTCTCGTTAAGCTCTGTGGAGGATGTTCTCACTCATGCCCTCTTTGTATTTTTGCCAGAGTCCCATGGGGTTAGATGGGCTGCAAACTTGAAGATGTATGCAGAAGAGCAATCTCAGTTGGGAAGGGGACTGACTAACAGAAGCTTCTGTCATAGCTTTATCAAGATGCTGATCATCCTCAAGAATTCCACGAAGATTGCAAGCTTCCCTGTATGTTTGATAGACAACTCCTTCCACTGTTTTGAGGTCTTGGAAAGACTTGGGCCATTTGACAACATGGAGAAGCATTCGGAGAAAGTAGCACTCCTGATTGTTGGGATGAACTGTGTAGACTCTTCGTAAGGCATCAGATTCACCGTAAGAAGCATGTTGCTTCCATTTTTTTTAGCACTCGATGTATAGTAGGAGGGAACTTCATGGTTGAGCAGGTTGGCAGCAAATGGGTCACTTTGGCACAACACAAAGAACGCCATCAGGGTGATATCTTGTTGAGCCAGCGCCTGTTGGTGGGCATTTCCTTCGGTGAAGTAGATGCGTTGACCATTTTCAAGGTGAACTGCCAAAAGGATGAGTGTGGGGGAACGCTCATGGATGGGGAAGCGAAGAATTCTCCAAATGGCCTCATTGCTGCTGATGTATCTTCCTTGGGCAACATGTTGAACCTCATCCACACTTTGCCGCATTGTTTTGTAAGGCAAAGACAGCTATATCAGAACCTTTGTTGATGTATTGGCAAACATATTTGATGGCTTTCACGGAATTGCAGAATTGCACATTAAAGTGGGCCTCGAAGATCTTGCACAGAAGAGGGCAGTAGGGAACGATCCACCGGTTGTCAACCATAATTTGAGAGTTAGCGGCAGGTCTGAGCGCTGTTTCAAATCCACCATGCTCAGTATTTCTGTGACGATATAGTGGATAGCCATCATGGGCCGACTGAGTGTCTTTCAAGAAGTTTTGTGGATACTTCTTGGTACACCTGCGGTCTTGCATACATGGCGAATTTGTATTGAACTGCCCATATGGGCCATGGACCATTTGGTTGCAGACGACATAAAAAAGGGCAGTGTCTTGATGGGGGTCAGGTAGCGCAGCACTGATAAATGTGTCAATGTGACTTGCATGAATTTTTTTGTACATTATAGAGCAGTAGTACGCACACTTAAGTTAATAAGCAGGCTACAGTCTAGATTATAGACTGGCAGTGCGCTGACTCAATGACATAAGCATTGCTACAGTCGACATAATAAGCTGGCAATACGATCAGCAGCTTAAAAAGCAGAATACAGTCTACATGAAAGACTGCCAGTACACTGAGCGAGGTAAAGAGATTAGCACAGTTAGCTATGTACAGTGGGAACGAAGTTCAACATACATACTACCACTCCCCCCACACACACACGCATATACTCACTCTCTCACACACTCACAAACACACGAAACATACTCTTTGGTTCTTTTGGTAAAGTCACGTATAAAGATAAAATAATAAATTAAATAATAGCATACGACGTTTCGATTGCAACACAAGCAATCATCATCAGGTATAATTGAAATAGCAACAAAAATCTAACCAGAAAACTATAGACAGACATATAAGCAGACAGATATCACCAAGATACATAGAGAGAGAGTAACACAGGCACAGAGAGGGAAATCGTCTCTGTGGCGAGGCCTTTAAATAGACAGAGGGGGGGGGCGGGGGCGGGGGCGGAGAGAGGCAGGGGTTAGAGAAAAAATTTAACACAAAACATATCCGTACACTTTAGTGCTCTCACTCAGACCACCCTGATTAACACACTGGTGGGTGTATAAACTGTACAAATACCATGCGCCGCCTGCTTCACAGTGAACGTTAAAGATCCCCTGACGTCATTCACAAGAGTATGCTGTTGTGTGCTGGAGTCACGGTCAAAATGTTCTAAATTCGAAAAGTTACTGCACAAATCGCGCAATTGGGATCACATGCGGTCGCGAGCATCGCGCCTTCCTAGCAGCATAATGCCAGGTGCTGAGTCACCTTGTGCCACACAGGGCCAGCTGACACTTGGGGTACAAGTGTGTTGATGGGATGCAAGTCGCTCATTGCAGGAGGGCGGTTCCATAACAAACAACTCACGAGCGTGATTATCTTGTGTGTGTGCGTACGTGTGTGTGCGTACGTGTGTGTGCGTACGTGTGTGTGCGTACGTGTGTGTGTAAACATGTGTGTGTACATGTTCAGGAGGTCCGGTGGACCGGTTCTGGCTCCTGCCACCATGAGGGGTGGACAGTCCTCTACTCGGGGCAGGAGACTGCCAAACAACAGGGTGTGGCTCTTCTTCTGAACAAAAGAATGAAGGGGGCGTGGGAGCGTGGCAGTGAGGTGTGGGAAGCTGTAAGCCCCAGGATACTTTGGGCTCGCCTTCCCATCAACCAGAGGCGAGGAGTGGTGGTCGTGGCTACTTATGCCCCCACCGAAGACGAACATCCGTGGAGGGATGCAGGCAAAGCCGATGAGTCAGACGCTTTCTATGACCTCCTGTCACAGGTGCTGGCTAAAGTGGCCACTCGGGACAGAGTCATCTTGTTGGGTGACTTCAATGCCCGAGTTGGTCATGATGCTGGCACCTGGTCTGGAGTGATTGGAAGGCATGGGCCAGATCAGCTCAATAATAACGGTAGGAGGCTGCTAGATTTTTGTGCAGCCCATGGGCTTGTAATTACCAACACGCTCTTTCGGCATCGGAGCATCCACACAACATCATGGATACATGCCGGGTCCAA